CTTAATGACGCACTGAGTCACGACGCAGCGAGTGATGATTTCATATCTGATGAGCGTGTCCCTGCTTGTACTGTGGTGTGTGTGTAGCTCATTGTCTAACATGTAACTGGGTCATATTAAAGCATCATTTGGTCATAGGCTTGATGTATTGTGTGTCATTGTGTACAGACGCGTACAGTCACATACCCTCTGTAATCTTTGGTGGGAAGATTATTTTCTCTAGTACTGTAGGGTACTTAAGAGTAGTCTTAAGACACATTTTGGAGGTAGGCATACTTGCCATATGCTGTACTTTTTAATTCACTACATTTATTTTGACAGTCAGTTAAAAAAATGTTGATGAAATTAGCTCCACTTTTACCAGATGCAGCATGAACATTATATAAACAATATTGCATTAATAATTCCTATCCAATTATATACTGTAAACTATTCTAAAATATGCCCATCTGCATTTTGAGTACTTTTACTTTTAATGCAATTACTTTTAATTATTGTTTTGGATAGAGAACTATGATATGTAACTGGTGTTGCAAGGTGTTGGAAAATGCCAAAGGGAAATTAAGTTTAGGATTTTGGGAATTTCTATTCCAATATAATTATTGTGCCTTTAAATAGAAATTGTTCCAGGGAAAATACACAGAAAGCAAACGGTCTTACGCCATGTTTTAGTTAAAATGTGCCATATTAATTGTAACCATGTGCATTCAGCAGCACATTCTTCTCCAACATCTACAGATCATCTTAATTCAATTAAATAGGAATTCCGGAGGATGACCATCCTCTGCATGCACAGTGCATTCTCTGATCACATGTGCAGCTACACTGCTGCCAACACCCCTGCTCTGTCTGAGCCAAGGACTGCATGCTTTCAATGTAAGTTATTATTATACAACTACAGTGAATATATTGGATGTATTTTAATGATATTTCAGTGAAACAGCAGGTAGTTCATAAAGCAAGGTATAGTTAATCATGTGTTAACACTTTCTTCTAGTTTTTGCTAGCTAACATTAGCTGTTACCATGTGGGATGTAGCTGGATGTAGCTTAATTGTGCCTGCTAACAAAGGTTTTACTAAATGTATTCCAATTTTTCTCCACCTTAAACCCTTTTTTTAAGAATGAGTTGTTCCCTCAAAACCTTAAGTTTGCAAATAGGATCAAATTTGAGCTATCTGACCACATGGCACATGTCTCACTGTATGTAGCCTGCTTGACAAATGAATGTGTTTTATTGGCAATTGAATGCATTATGTCTGAATGTGACATGGGAATACAGCCTGTGCAGATAATCCCTATATTGCCAATTTATTCTTGTCATTTCCCATTCGTTTGTATAAATTATCAATCATTCACTGTAGAACGTTTTCTTTTTAAATGTTTTCGGCATTTGCAACCGAAGCTGTAACAGATTATTGAGACACTTTGGTATTTTCTATGTCTACTTAAAATATCTGAGTACTTCTTCTACCATTGTCTGTAACAAAGATGCAACTGATGGTTACTTTCATGTTTGATTCATCAGTAGAATTTTTTTTGTGAGAAAATTGTGAAATTTGTCAGCAACAATTTCAAAAAGCCCAAGTTAAGACCTTCAATTGTTCTATTCTGTTTTACCAACATTCCAAAATGTCAAGTATTGAGTTTACTATCCTCTATTTGAGAGAGAAAAGCATCAATAGGCCTATTTCTCACTTCAACATGATGGTTACTTGGCTGTAAACTTTGCGATGTGTTCAATTGCAACATTTTTGCTCAAGACGCAGGAAACATGAGGCAACATTCGTCTCCTTTGCTGCTAGTTCTTTGATGTCGGTTTGGTGTGTAGCCTCCCTGATATTAACTTTCAGGACACTCTGTTTTGTTCTTACCTCCTCCCTATTACCATCTCTAAAAGCCCTCTGCTTTGCATTCAGGATGGCCTTGATGTATTTGGTTACACATGGTTTGTTATTTGAATGACAATGCAGAGTCTTTGCTGGGACAGTGCCGTCTACACACACTTTATGCAGTGGACGATGCACTCAGTAACCCAATTAATTTCCATTTCACGGGCCTCACAGAGTGCATGCCGGTCTGTCACCCCAAAACCTATTTTTATATGACAGACAAGATAAGTGTTGTTCTGATTGCCATGACATCTGGGTTTAGGGTGATCTGCTGGTCCATGGAGTGCCGCAAAACCGGTTTCCAATCTATAGATCTCTAAACCATACATGTTCATCCCCCCCTGTTAAGTTCTAATGTCTGATAAAGAAAACTAGACGTCAAGCCAGAGTCCTCACTACTTTACGCCTCCCATCTATACATTACCATAGGTTAAATAAAGGATTGAGAGGCTTTATTTTCAAAAAGCACAATAACAGTGTCATTTTTGGAATAAAAAGAAAGAAGACATGAAACAGTGCAATCGACATAAGTTGCAAGAATATATAAAGAGTGTTCCTGTTGCCGTTCTGACACCTGAATTTCACTTTGGGGATTAATAAAGTGTATCTTAAAGGACACCTATCATGCTATATTTAAATGATATATTGTAGGGCCATACCTATATAAGGTATATTAATACGTTTCTGTTTTCAAAATACCAAACAGATCATGCATTTTAGCCATGCCTCATTTCGCTCTATGTGCTGTTTGCTGTCTACGGGTCTGATTCTGTGAGCTGCAGCTGACCACGCCCCCCTGCAGGAGAGGGGAGCCGTGCTCTGATCAAGTCAAGAGGGGGAGAAAAAAAGATCTCTGTCCTCCGTGTTTTATTATATTATTATAGGCCTATAGAGTCGTTATTCATTTGTTTTAAAGTTCAATAAATAACAAAGAAGACCTTTGACCGGCACTTTTCAAATTTTGTCCGGAAGATTTAAACTTTAACGGACATCTTGACCGGCGAAAGAAACAGAAACTGAAACTCTGCCGCACGGTCCCCTCGTTCCTTGGAAGAGGCGGAGAGGTGGGCGTTTGTCATCTGCTGGTGGACTAACCGGAGAGAATTACAGTGCTTGCCTCGACGGGGAGGGATTGCATTGAATTAAAGCAGCGGGAGCAAACGCTTGCCTCGGGGAGGGAGAAAAAAAGCCACAGCGGAGAATAAACAGAAGGGTAACCATGGTAACTATGGGCGGGAAGTCTTCTTCGCTGCTTTTGTGGCAGACTACAGCGCCACTTACAGGCCTGGCATATGTACTACAGCGTCTCCAGCGCTTTCGAGCGGCAATGGCCGGCCGTGGCCCAACCCCACATTCCCCTGATAGGTGGAGAGTTGGCCCAATAGCCGTAGCGCCACTTCTGTGACGTCATTGAAGTGTTCAAATCTGGATCAGTCTGTATCAGATCCGTTGCAGACCCTTTTTTAGAGATTTGGGTATGGAGGAAAATAGAGAGGGTTGTGTTTTCTGACACTTGGTGAGTTCCCTGGAACACCGGGGACACATATTCATGTATAAAAAATGGACAAAAGTGCATTTTGCATGATAGGTCCCCTTTAAGTAACACAACCCAAAAGGTTTGACACTTTTACACACATAACCTTAAAGTAAGCAATACTGTTGGTGCTATAGGGAAACCAGGTGAGGGGGATAAGTGCTAAGGGGGGGATGTGACATGTGACAGGAGAGGTAATGATAAGGCAAAGCCAGATGCAAACAAACCTAAAGTGTGTGGAATTTATGACTCAGACTTTTACTTTTACCTTGAAAGTCATCCTGAGTTGTGTTGTTAGGAATCTCTAAGGTGAGATGGAGCCTCTCCACAGCCGTCATGTGTTTGGGATTAGACCGACCCACTGTTAACGTGACACTGAGGCAGCAGGAAGTCTCACGGGCCAAACAGAGCCCGAAGAGTCCATGGCAGCACCTGAAACACAAATGTAAAAGAGAGAAGAGAGGAGACCTATTAGGTGATTATTAGTTTACAGCAACTATTTGATAATTGATTTAAGTTAGTTTCAGGCAAAAATATCTCTTTTTGATCGTTTTTTGCTTCCAATATGTGCGACTTTGCTGAATCCGTAATCTTAAATGACATACCATTGAATATTTGGGGGTTTTGGACTGTTAGGTTAATGAAGACGTCACTTTGGAGGTTGTAATTTGGCTTTTTCAATGTTTTACAGACCAAAATCAATTATTTAAATCAATTAATCAAGGAAATAATCAACTTGTTCTACATAGTCCACAACAAAATAATAGTTTTTGCTTTTGTCTCTTCTTATGTTGCAGTATTAGACTATGAGTGCATTTTGTTGCACAAACCTGGGTTGTACAATAACAACAAAGTAATCTTATATACTTGTATTTCCTTTTAATCTATTTTTTACGCTGGCTTGATGGTATGTTTAACCAAAATTGTATACATTAAATAACCACCATGTGTAACTGTCAGTGTGTCTCAAACAAAACAATGAAACATCTGTTTTTCTCAAAAGATGTATGACTGTAATGACGTTTGCTCAGCTTGTTTTTCTGACACCTTATGACCCACATGTCATATGACCTAAATCCTCCACCCTGTTAAAGTCAAGTTAAAGAAACAACCAAAATCTAAAAGGTGTATTGTACAAATATGACTTTAAACTGGATAAATGCAACATTTTTGACAGCCTCAGACAAACAAATGTGCACCAAGGTCACCTGATAAAAATGTAAAGTTTGTTAATGTATGGAAATATTTGGGATAATCTCTGTTTACAACTCCACAATATATATAGCATATGTGGAGTTGTTTTTAGACGTGTTAATGCAGACATATTTTACCCTCAAGTAGCATCTCATTTTCTTTCTCTAACCCCCCCTTCCTTTGTTTTAGTGCAGTCATGCAGCATTGTGCATGAGTCACATCCTCTGAAGTCCTGACCTTGTGAGAAAGTAGGCAGTCAGTCAGTCTGTAGTTTACTCAACTTCCAGGAATCCAGAGTGGGATCCCCCTCCCCCTCTCTGTCCTCCCCCTCCTCCCTGCTGCCTGTCTGCCATGTTGGCTGCTCGTCTCACATGCCTCCAGCTGCTCTGAGCTCACGCTGCTGATTGGACGAGCTCCTACCTGCCAGGTGGAGGTGAATGCTGCTCTTTCATTGGCCGGCAGGAGTTAAATGGGAGCGGTGGGGAACTCCTCCTATTTCCCTGTCTACTCAAAAGAAAAGGTGGCAGCTGCTGAGGAGTGAAAAGGAGAAGGAAATATACAAGTAGCGGACGACTGAAACACACATCAGGGAGGAAGAACAGCTGAGAAAGTCACAGGTTGGCATTTTTAAATTATGACTTCTTTCTTTTTTACTTAAAGTGGATAAATGTCAGGTTTCTTTTGATGTATTTTACCATGTGTTTCTTTGAAGTTTGAAATCATACATCCATGATATCTTATCACCTCTTTGAAATCAGGAAACTATTGTCTTCTTTTAACCTCGGGGGTAATTTTATGGTGATACTGAGGACCTTTTGTTTCCTTTGACACATGACTTTTAAAACTTTGCATGGTCACTTTTACATGCTGCTTTGTTTGTAATCTAAACCTTGTGACAGAGGAGACCTGCATCGCACTCTGGACAGAGTCACTATCATCCTTCATTTTTGTCTCCGAGACAAGTTGTGATGCGAAGTGTGACCGCGTAAAATAGAGATGACTGAAGTGACTCTCAAACAATCGCTGTTGCCATTCTTTCAAATGTGAGGTTTTTTTCCTCCTTTTGTCATTTAAAAATGTTTTTGTATTTTAATTCGATGAGCCAAACTATTTTTCAAATTTGGTTCAGGGCATCTTAATGGAAGAAAGTGATTAACAAATGAATTAAAGGAGGCAAAGATTGAGAGCAAAAGTTGACATTCTTGTGCTTGTAGAAAATGAAGCAGCAGATCCTAATTGGGGAACTCCCACAGTGTGTTGTAATTTAACTAATCACATATGACATGCTGTGGGAGGGGCCAACATCTCAAACAAAAGTGACAAACATGTAATGGGTTTGGCTTCTCACATGACACAATCTGCTGATCTCTTGTCTTTTAAATTGTAGAACATGTTGAAAAGTAAATGTATTGATACTGAAAATAGCTTTTATCATTAATTAATCAAATGCAAAGTACCTTCCTTATAGGTTAGTGCAGATTAAAGAGCTTTACAGATGACTGACAAACTGGAAATAAAACAGAATAAATTGAGACTGTGAAAATATAAATCGCAAAAAATGGGAGACCAATGCAATCGAGATAATAAAAACGATGAAAGTGTATTAAATTAATTTAAAAGTGAAAAATATGAATAATAATAAAACAAATTGTGACATTTACACTTGATAAATAAAATCACAAAAAAGAACAACATTTTTCAAATTGGATGATAATATTACAAAATAAATCCAATAAAATAATCCTGCCTGCCTGAATAGCTAGTTTTTTTTGTTTAAAATCAGTTATTTCATGCAGAAATGTCACATTCTCTGTCATAAATGTTTCTTGTGGAGTTATTTAAAAAACCCAGTTGTTGAGGAGTACTCTTACTCAAAGGAAACATTGTTGTAGAAACTAACGAGGCACGAAAAGGCACAATAGTCCACCTGCTGGGTGACGTGGAGCCCGGAGGCTGTGCCGTCACCGAGCCGCTCGTCGGCCTCATTGTTTAATTCATCCGGAGCGTGTATAACTCACAGATGACAGTTACTTATTTATTACAAGCTGAATGGTCTGCCGCGTGTGTCTGCATGCCCTCGGCCTCAAGCCTCTGAAGTTGCAGAAGCAGGTAGAGACATGTGTGTTGTGAAAGTGTGTGTGTGTGTATACAGGAGGGTCTATGTTGTTCTGCAGGGAAGGTGTCTGTTGTCTTGCTGCTAGTCGCCCTGCAGGCTCAGTTAGAGCACAGGGAACAGATGGTCGATGTCTGCGTGACGCGCTCTATTGACTTTCTGACTCAGAACCCGGGTGCAGGCTGCAGTGACAGTCATATGTGGCAAAAATATTGATTTCTGAGTGAGGATTTGTACTGAGGTAGCAGTCTAACTGGGACATCTGATTTAAAGCAAGCACTACAGACAAAAGTGAAGAAAAAAGTGGTAAGGCTCTTTTTATGTTTGTGTTTAAGTATTCCTTTTAAGCATTGTAAGGTGTCCTGAAAGGCTCCAATTAAAATGTATTATTTGTTTTTATTATGAAGCTTTATGTGCACATAAAGGGTGTTTCTTTCAGCTTAAAGTCTAGTCTTAACTCTTCAAAAGTACAGAGGAGGAAGTGAAATAATCTACTTCATGCGTTTAATCACTTTTGTTTTTCGTGTCCTTTTCAGAGTTACGACGTGTGTTCCTGTCAAACTGCAGAGACGGATTGATAGCTCAGACTAGACGTACAACAAAGATGGCCTCCGCCGCTCCGTTCAGCCGCAGACCGTGGGCGTCCCAGTCGCTGAGGGTCACCGCCAAGGAGCTGTCCATCATCTCCGCCCGGGGGAAAAAGAACGCCATCGCAGAACGCTTCTCAAAGTAAGTCTAACTTTAGCTCTCTCTGGCTTTGACCACGAGGGTCATTAATAATTCACCAGCAGCCACTTTGGAAATGAGGTCACAGGGTTTTCTCGCATCACTTTATTGCTAATCAGCTGTTTTTTATTTTCCTCTTTTCTGTTAGAAAGTTAAACCATCCGCTCAGTCAGTTCTGGCTCACAGACTTTGCCGAGTTATACTGATGATTGTATAAGAGCACCATCATCCAAAGCTTTTTCTCTTTCACTTGTTAAACAGATCAAGTTACTTATTTGTCAATTGAGAAGGTTACATACTGTAGGTCCTCTCTACACTTTCGCCCTCTAACCACTAGGGGTTGGTACTGCTCTGTTTTCAGGGCAATACATCTTACAGCAGGGGTCTTCAATGTTTTCAGGCAGGTGAAAAACATTGAGCTGGAAGACCGAGCAGTGACCCTCTGCGACCTACTCATACACTTGAGTTGCATGTTAAACTGGGCCTACAATAACATGGAGGGCAGCCTTTAGTGCCATGTGTAAAACATACTTGTACAAGCTATAAAATAAAAATAGGCAGCGTTGGATAACTAGTTAGCCGTGCTGGACAGTGATTCAGCAAAGGTAACTAGCTCACATGATTGCACAAAGATTTTATTGAGAATAAGAACACTTTTTTTTATTCTGTGTGGGAATTAGGTTTTGTGACGGTTGCACCATTTTAGAATAAAATAATCGTTTTAAGTGAAATTGTGCAATAAAAGCTCTTGTAGCCACTGGGACACGGCGTCATAGGAACAGGAAGTCATGAACGCATCATCAAAGTTGTGTACATATTCAAATATGTTTTTTTAACGATTACACATTTCCTGATTTGTCTTTGTTTCTGTAAAGTGTATTTTCAGACACATTTTATTACAAAATAAAAAAATTCTAAACCTTATCAAACAACAATTAAATGGCGGCCCACATCCAATAACTTTGAGGACAACTTGTTAAAGCCTAATGGTTTTCTTTTTGTTCTCAATGTGTGTAAGAAATGGTCAAGTTATTGTGTTCAGATGTATATTATAATATTGAATACTATTTAGAAACAGCAGGACATTTGTCACTGATCCACATCTGTAAAATGCATAATCTTGTAACATATTCTCAAAATATACTGTTACATTTAAGATGTGTTGTAGTCTCACCTAATCTAATGCGATGAAACTCGAGTCACCTGATGAAAGGCTTGATAGGAAAGAGAAAAAACGTTTTAGATATTTTGGTAATAATTGCAACTTTCTTGTCAAATACTGAAGGTTTTTCACTTCAGATCTCACTTTTCAAATTAAACGATTACAGAACATTTGATTATAACCTTATCGTTTTGAAGCAGAAGTGAAACATAAACATTGAAACCACTTGTAACTTCCTGTTCCTGCTCTGTATCTCAAAGTGGGTCACATGTTTTCCGTTTGTAATGCATGAAATGATCTAATGTTTTCGGAGCGAGGATACTTCATGTTATCTTTCTGGGTGTGTGTGGGTTCAGCAGCAGAATGTGGTGATGATTTGACACTAAATGTTCTCTAAATCACCCTCTTCCTCTTCCTCTTTCTCAGGTACCAGATGGCAGCAGAGGAGGGAAATGCAGAGAAGAAGAAAGCGGTACGTAACTTTATTAAATATGTCTGACTATACTAATTCACAGTGGTTAAGGACATATTCAAATTCTTGACTCTAGTAAAAGTATCGATATTACAATAATCTGATATCTGAAAGTTCTGCGTTCAACTGAGTATATTAGTACAGTATCAGCTAAATGTACTCAGAATATGAAGTGAATGCAGTATAAAAGTACTCTATACAGAAAGGATAGAATATAATAGAGCTCCCAATACCCTGAAGAACAATATGATGTTTTAGGATATATTAAAGGGTTGTCTGAATTTTAAGACTATATAAATATATTTTTTAAAGGCAAGTAGTGTTCTCGCTTATTGTGGTCCTTCTCCCGTAGTCATGCAGGTTTGTAGGGGAAATTACGGTTATTGAGAACAAAAACTGTCTTTTTAAATCAAGAACTGGTATCAGGAAGCAAAAAATGTAACAGTATTAACTCGTAGAAAATTAGCTTGGGCAAAAATGCCTCCGTAATTCAAGAGCATATTAATTCTCTCGCCAAATTATTTAGTTTTACTAGACTTTCATACGGTCACTCTTGGAAAGGTTAATCGAACAGTAATGGTGATTGAAGCAATGTGGTGTATTTGTGGCTGGCATATTTGGACATAATCTTCTTTATCAACAGTTGTGTAGTTCAAAGACATTGTACACCCTTCATCTGTATTTAAAATTATATATTTTGTACCCGGTATGAAGTTTGTATTCCTCATGATTGTAAGGGTGTGCACATTCAGGCTCACACACATCCTCACACACTCTCCTGTTGCTGTTATGGCAAAAGAAACCCCAACCTTATTATTATTTTGGCATGCATTTTCACAATCCAACGTCTAATCGGCTACAAAACACCTGCACGGACAGACTGAAGTTTTATAGTAATGCGTCATATTTTATTAGATCATAGGTTTTTTTATGAAAACTTGAAGCAATTGGTTACTTTCAGGCAGTTACAGTGGAGTTAAAAGTACAACATTCTCAATGTAATGGAGTATAAATTGTAAATGATTAAGTAAAGTACCTCAAAATTGTACTTGAGTAAATGTACTTGGTTTCTTTTCACCACTGGTCCTTCATACTGTTGCATTTTAGCCTTATAAGGCTATGATTGTAGAGTGAGGTCACCTGCAGGTAAACGTGATGACGGTGTGTGTGTAATTTAACCTACTGTCAGAGGGGGGAGACATAACATCTTTTTTGAAGGTTTAATGCATCTCATCATGTGGACATTTTTAATTTTTTAAAAGGGCTTTTAGGTTTGTTGCTCCTGTAAACGAATGTTTTGTAGCATTCAGAAAATAAGGAAAATCATAATCGGCAGTAAACTATAAAAGTAGATAAGTCAGGGTAGGTGTTTCTATCAAATCCATTTCCTAAAACAAACATCCAAATCTTATCAGGAGATTATTTATCCAGGTTTAGCTTCTTTTTGAGCTTTGTATGAATGTTTTTTGGTCCGGCTCACACTCCCCTTTTACCCTTTCTCTCATTTCCTGAACTTATTTTCCCTCCCTCCCTCACCCACTGTCTCTGGTTCTGATTTTCTCTCTTCCCTCCGCCCCTCGCCCCCTTCACTCCCTCTCTGTTTCCTTCCCCCGTGTTGCAGGAGGGGGGGTGGGCCGGTTACTTCATGCTGCTATGATCACTTCTCAAGGCGCTCACATCTGGGACAGCTTGTAACCGGGCAGCACACACACACACACACACCCACACACACATTGATTTTAAACAGACAACCCACACCGGACAGCCGTGTCTTCAGCGTCTCGCTCAGGTTTTTACTTTCTTCTGTGGTTTTTCCTAAAGTTTCCCAGCTTTTTGTTCTGTATCCAGCTGATTCAGGTTTATAGACTCGCATGCTGAGCAGCTCTTTGTCTTTTGTGTCTCCCTTCTTTCAAAGGTGAAAGTGTTTGCTTGCATGATTTGCTGACAAAGCTGTGTGTGTTTTTAGCTTAATTTAGAGGTGGGAGGATCAGGTTGCATCAGTTCGACTTTGATAGAAATCATTGAAACAACTAAAAACTACTTTTCAGAGAGCAGCTACTCGGTGGGTTTGTCTGCTCTGACAAAGCTTTAACAGAAATAGTGAGTCATCCAATTTAACATGTTGGTATGTGACTGTTTGTGTTGCTGGAGGTTTATCTTCTCACTGCTCTGTTGAAATAATGTATCCAAACTTCTTACATGCTCATATACTGCACATCTGCATCAGACTACTGCTGTTAAGCAATCTTAACTATTTTCATACATCATACATAAAAGTTAATTGAACATATCTGTGGTTTAGGATTGTGGGTCAGACAAACTGAGCAATTTCAAAGACCTCGCCCTGAGTGTCAGGGATATTGTTAGCAACATTGTTCATCTACTATGCTTGGAATAATTTTTTTTTTTTTTGACTGACACGGAAAGATGCAACATTGTTTAGCCTTTTTTAAGTTGCTTTCAATTGCCGGAAAACTAATTTGCAACTATTTTGAAAATCAATTGTCGTTTTTACATGCTAAACATTTTGATGTCACTATCAAATATGAATATTTGATAGGTTTCTTAGTGGTATGGGATAGTAAGCGAAGTATTCCTTGATAAACAATTGAGCCTTTTTAACTATTTTTCGTATATCTAAAGCCTGATCAATACGATTCCTCTGCTCCGTCATTATCAGGAACAAACGCATACTGTAGTTCATTTGAATTGAATTACCACATAAACCCTATACCGCCACAAATATTCACTAAAGCATCAAACAAGGATTCATTCACAGCTGAAAATGGTCTTGAACCAATGCAATATTTCCTTTTTCCGTTTTTTTTTTTTTCTACTGAAAACTAGCCAAGTCTGAAACGTTATATTTGTGAGCCATTTTTCAAAGATGTATGTTTTTTAAGTAGTACTCTGTGTGATAGGAGCTGAGAACCACAGACTAGAGACAGAAATGATAAACTAATACAATGTTGTTTCATTGATTTGGAGACAAAGCCCCCTTTTTTAATTTTGGACCCAGGATTAAAATGCATTTAGGGTAATGGATTGCATTTTGTCTGAGTGTAAACAGCTGAGTGTTTCTTTCATCTGCAGGTCACAGAACCTCTTCCCTCCACACTGCGCAGCGGGAATCTGAGTCTTTTAAAGAAACGCTGGGAACAGCAGCAGTCATCCAGCCTCAGAGCCCAACCTCAGGACTGCAACCCTCAGACCCTCAAACCTGCGCCCACATCACACATCCAGAACCACGCAGAGACCCTGAAGACCGCCCCACCCTCTCAGGACCAGGACATCGACCCGGAGACGCAGCTTCACTGTGAGTCCAGCTCCCACCAGCTGCAGTCGGCTCTTCCTGAGGATCTGATCATGGAGGAGAAGCCCAGCAGAGAGTCGGAGGAGCATCAGGGAGCGCCGGTTGAAGTACCCGAATGTGAGAAGCCCAGCGTCCCCCTCAACAGCCTCAAGATGATGTTTGAGAAGGGAGAGAACCTGAGCGACAAGGTGAGGATTCAGATGTAATTGTCGCACCGCACGCTCAGTGAATTTAAGAAATAGATATTTAATCCATCCTAGTAATTGGGGATAGTGGGCAACTATAACAGAGCCTAGGGAGCATGGTGGGGGTCTGATGCCTTGCTTTAGGGCACCTTTCAAAGTCACCACTCAGTATTTGGTCCATTCGGGGACTTGAACCGGGGACTTGAACCGGCGACCCTCCGGTTTCCAAGCCATACAGACTTACTAACTGCCACTCATCTCAAATATGATTGGGGGGTTTCTGTTCTTCACCTGCAGTTTTGGAAAGTGAGTACATTTACTCAAGTGCTGTTTGAGTATTTCCCTTTTATGTTTATACATCTACTGCATTCATTCATTTAAAGCAAATATTGTCCTATTTTCCTTTCCTACATTTATTTGACAACATTTTAGTTACTTTGCAGGTTTACATTATTAATACAAAATATAACTCCACTTATGGATTCATATACCTGGCAATATATTAGTTTCATCTTGAATCCTAATAACTAGTTTAAATAAAAGAGTCTGGCGGTCTTGGCACAAAGAGGTCAGAACCCTCCAGTGCTGTCATGCTGATAGTCACATGGTGCAGCCTCACTTCAGCATCATCTCCACACACACACACACACACACTCACACTCACACTCACACTCACACTCACACTCAGCTGACTTTTTACGTCTTCTCAGCAAGCATCAGTGGCCGGAGCTTCATGCACTGCGGGGCAGCTAATTGCTATTTGTGGAGCATAAAAGTTGAAGTATTTAACGTCCAGTCATGCATTGGCTGGAGGCGTGTAACATGTAAAGTGCTGGAGGTGTGACACGTTAACAAAGGCCACGCTGTGTTTCCGCAACACAGAGCGTCCATTTACGACAGGAAGAGAACATTACAGGCCCTTATGAGGCGTTAAGAGGCCGTTTGAGTGTTCAGTGTGTTTAACTGAGGACTTTGTGTTGTGTCCTCTGAACTCTACTGTACTTTATTGATCAGGAAATATGACGACAGTTATTAAGGCTGCTAAGGTCAAGCTTTTGACTAGGGTCACATGATCGCCAGTCACGAATCCACACAATGATCACTGAACTTCTCGTAGCTCGAGGGTGTTTTTGCAACAATCAGATAATTGATTTGGTTTTTCTACAACTGTACCGTTTTGGTTCCTTTTTATAGATTAAAACTGACATCCTTGTGTTACTCCTCTGAAGGGGTAAGGTCAAAAGACATAGGAGAACCACACATGTGACTCTCTTTGACTTTGCCTGACTGGATGCACACAAGCAGCAGAGCAGACATCTCCTCCTGCAACTCGGAGCCAACTCCCCGGGCTAAAAAACACTCCTAAAAAAAATTCTGCTCGTCCATTCCTGTGAAATATTTTTCTTATTTTTCCAGTATTGTCTGCCAGACAAACGGGCTCAAACCTCACCTCTCACCAATCATGCATAAACCATTTTTTTTGATAAGGATGAGGATATTTTTGGCAAAGACAAAGACCAACAATGTTATAGTCCGTAGCTCTCAGCCCCAAATCCCATTGGTTCCTAGTTGGAAAATAAAATCAATACACCTCATGTACAGCAAAGCTACAGCCACACTTGATTAGCTAAGCTTAGCCACACCTGGTTAGCTTAGCTTAGCTCACAGGTTGTAAACATCTTTACCTAAAATGGCCCAATAGGCTTTCAGAACTAACACAATCTACATGAAACTCATTAATGAACATATAGCCTAGCATCAAGTTTGTTTAACCCGTACTAATGCCTAAGTGTAAAATTAATTAGTCATAGTTGTAATGGGAGCTAGGCTAGCCTTTTCCTCTGTTTTCAAGTCTTTGTGCTAAGCTAACTGGCTACTGGCTGTAGTGTGGTATTTACTGTACAGCTATAAGACAGATGTCTTATCAATTATCTCATCTTAAAAGATTCCCCAAAATACTCCTTTTTTTAAAATAGTTTTCAACCTTGAATAAATCGTGCTTGCAGCTACGAATTAACACACATTTTGGATGTTAAAGTGATTACTCCAGCAATAAGAAGGCAAATCACAAGACTATAAACTTCAGATAACCTTTAAAGCTTCCCTGGGACCCAGTACCAACAAAGGAATGGTTATTGGTGAAAAAAGAGATGTGTAGTCAGAATCTGAAAAAGAAAAAGTGCTGTTCTAACAAAGACGTTGTTTTTCCACTTCTTTCACTAAAACACTGACCTCCTACAGTATGTGGGAATTTTAAAAAGTGAGATCAAGGGGCGCTCGAGGGAGTTGGAGAGTCTTTAACTGCATATTTGTCTTTGCAAAGGAGGGATTGTTTTAGGGGAATCCTCGAGCAGTAATACAAGATCTTTACAGTTCTTTTACAATAGCGTCCACTGTATGGCTGGGGCTCGGCCTTCTTCCTCTCTTTGTTGAACTCTTATTCTCGCGGCAGATGATGTAATGTTGCGGCTCATGACTGCAGACAGCTGATCTTCAGACCGTCTCCCCCTCCGGCCATCAAAGCTCTCCCCCCTTCCCCCCGCCCCACCTCATTAATCATCCATAGTGTCCACTTCTCCACTCATTGGTCCTACTTCCATTCCCCTTTTTGTTTCTCTCATCCCTCCCTTCTCCTCCTTTACCGTGATCTCCTGATATTCCTTTTGTTAACTTTATAACAACGTTGCTGCTTATTGTAGGCACAAATCTCCATTTGTGGAAATCCATCTAACATTCATGTTCCCCTGAGGATGAATACTATTGATTTAGTTGACCTTGTAGCACCATCATGTGGTCTACGTCTGTTGTTCTGAGTAAAATATCTCAACAACTGGATAATGGTCAAAATTGGTGAACTCCAACAATCCCCTCTGGATTAATTGCAACAATTTTGGTGATCCATCTTAAGGCTAAATTTGTATCCGCCCAATGCTTTGATATGACCAAATACTTGATTAGCTTATGCCATTCACATCAGGGATGTTCTTGTGACTAATTTCCCTATACAAATGTGTTTAAACTTGGACAGCACTCCATGTTTTAAAACCAGCAGGATCACAATGTATTCCTGTTGTGGCTTTTACACATTTCCTATGGGTTTGGCCTGCTCTTCTTGCAGGTTAACATCCACAAGCCTTCACTGAATGTGGTTAAACATTGTTCTTGTAGCGTGGTCAATTTAAATGCCAATTTATTTCAAAACCATACATACAACCTAGCCAATGGAAATATTGCCAAAACGTGCTGGTTATACTAAAAGTCTGTCAAATAGCCCTAATTCCCATCAGCTGTACTTTGAGCTTAATGCTATAAAGCAAATGCTAACAACTTAAATTAAAACGGTGAACAGGTTACACATTAAAACTGCAAAACCCTTGTTTATTAAAGTACCTCTTATCTTTATTAGCATTTAAATTGTTATCATTTCCTGCTGCAAGGGTGTTAACAGTGTCGTATTCTCTAAAGCCCCTGTGATGCTAATGTTTGATATTGGGATACATAAACAAAAGAACATTGTAGTGTTAGCATTTAGCTGCAGCCTCACAGAGCTGCTAGCATGGCTGTAAACTCTTTTAATCATCTTCCCCCCAACCAGTATCTTCGTAGACCCCCTCCCCTCTAACTCCCCTCCTCGGGTCGAGCAAAGCATGAAGTCATGAGGCGCTCTGAAATTAATTGACCCCTCAGCCTGCTTTCCTAGAAAACCCCTCCCTCTCTCCCACCGACACACGGCTCCCCCAAATTCCCCTCCCTCTTTCCTCCCACTGTCACCCCCCCCCCCCCCTGCACCAGCTGCTCCTCCAAAAATGACTCCACCCAGACCGCCTGCCGCTTTATTGTGAAGCTGAGGGACAATAACTGCACACACCCACCCTGTATGGCACACTTTGCCCCCCCCCCCCCTCCTGTCACCGTCCCCACCTTTTCTTTATCAGGACACGCCCCCCTGTGAGCAGCCTCCCCCCCCTGGAACACCTGCTCCCTGTCGCCTCTCCTGTTCCCACCCAGTCTCCGTCCCCTCCTCCCCTAAAACCATCTCCGTCTCCCCCGCTGTAAGCCTGTCTGTGCCTCCTCTCTGCTGCCGGCTTCAGTCATACGATCCGTCCGAACCGGCTTCCCCTCCCATCTTTCTGCCGGCTCTTTCGTCCCCTTCATCTCTCCGCTCGCCTTCACCAGAGGTAGCTATGGTGTTTCCATTCACTTTAAATACAGGGTTGATTTTTTTTTTTTCTTTGTTTAGCTTCTGCACAGGCGCCTGGCTTCCTTGCGCTGAGACACACCGTCTACTTTGACTTTTCCTCTCTGTTTTTGTTGACTTAGATTAGTATGTTTTCTCTGCAGCTGAAAGAGGCCTTTTAGTGCCGTGGCTGCAGAGGTGCCTGCATTGAAAGCAGCCTATGAAAGCCTCTTAATGAGCTAACTTAATCAATGGCTGCTTGAACTGGGTGCGCTAACTTTGATCAATATAATTATTGTTTTAAAAGGGTATAATTTATTATTTGGGTACTTCACTCTTCTGTCTTTGTTTTGCTTAATGTAAGAACATCCTATTGTCTTTGAATAGTGTGTTTCCGGTGGTGGGTTCAGGGACGGGTGGGGTTATTACTGCAAGTCAGTCTGTAAGGGAGCTTTAATGGTATCAGGATTAGCAGGAGATTCTTTGTCTAGCCGCTGATCCAGCCTCCTGGGACCTGCATGGCCCGGCTGCTTGTTTACATCCCCCCCCCCCCCCCCCCCCTCACACATATGTTTACACCCCCTCCTCATGTGCACACGCATGCATGCAAACCAGCACCCCTCTTCTTAAAAACTGCACCTCCGGTCTGTGGAAGATAATCCACCCTCGGGGATTGATCATATGATGACGACGTTTCTTTTGTCAGGATGTGACTATGTTCTCTGGAGCCAGAAACTCTGAGTGTGTTCATACTAATATTTATTATTTATGCTTGCATGTCTATTGCATTCCTGAGTCTCAGATTACTTCATTTGTTATAGTCTGGTTTATTATCTTCTCCTGATAAAAGGATCAAAGTTTAGTTTCGTGTTAAAGCTGCGATAATTAATGTTTGTATTTTAAAGGGGCCTTTCTTTTTGTGCATTTTACAGTTTTCCCTTTCCTATAATGTGTTCAAGGTTTTTGTGCATGCAAATGGTCTGAAAAGGCTTTGATTGTTTCCGTAACATAGTGACCTCACTATGTTACACTCACTCTTCTATTGGCTAGCGCTCAAACACATTGTACTTGATAGGCTAAGGGGCGGGACATCTCTGTGGTCGATCAATCACAACACAGCCGGCCAGCTCACCAATCAGAGCAGACTGGGCTCTGGTTTCAGACAGAGGGTGAAAAGAGGTGCTGCAGTATGAGAAAAATAGAGACCTTTTGAACATTAAAGCATGGAGACATGTCACATTAGAGGCACAAGATACAATAATTAACCTGATAATGAAAATAATAGGGCCCCTTTAATATTGGATGAATTGACTACATGTTTGTGGTCAGTTAACAACTCTAACTTTTCACAGAGGATTAACACAAGTTCACAAGTTCTGAGCAAGGTCTGTCACTAGAGGGGTTTTCACATTTCTCTGTTGATCATTTCTTGGGAAACTTATCAAAAGTGTTTTTATCTTACATAAGTGATGCGCATAAACTTGTCTGAATCTTACGTGCTGTTTTCAGTCTTCACCTCAACATCTGTTTTCTTTTCTATTGTCAAATCTTTCACAACTCTGACCTGCTGCAGCCTGCAGACTCTGAGCCTGTCAGGACGCAGAGGGCAGCTCAGGCGTAAGGACCTGGAAATAACTTAACACTGAACAGTGGTGGAAAATAAAGTAATGCACTTAAACTTACCAATACAACTTCACTAAAACATAAATGCATTCATTACCTCAAGTTAAAATGGCAGATATTGTTAGTTTGGGAAAATTAATTTAGTTATTTGGAGACTGTTGACAATTATAGTCTTTTATTACAATCAGTTTTCCTAATTATTACGGCTTATTAAGTTAATGTAGTTGTAAAATATGTTCATTCAGAAAAAAAGCATGAAGTGCTTTTAAAATGACTTGAAGAGCTCTATATGCAGCTAGTCTATGGCTAATGTATACCTTTACTAAGTATTGGAGTGTATGAGTTTGCAGAAAACCACTTTTGATACTTTTAGTATTCGTCTTCAGTATAACACTTTTACTAAAGTAAGATTTTAAAAGTATAACCTTTACCCGTGAAGGAGTACCCGCACATTGTGTATTCAACCACTGGCACTGAATCTGTTATCACAAAAGGGTGAAAACTGTTTGAACCTTTTGTACATTTCCGTGGAGAATCTATTGAGCAGGTGAAGGATCGGAGATGTTTCTCACAGCCTGAAGGCTAAATGAGTTGAAGCGTCATCTGACTTATTGTGTCATCTCTACCGTAGGATGTGTGCCCTCATGTTGGCACGGCTGTCGGGAGGAGGAGTTACACTTCTGAGATGTTGAGACTTGAATGTAACAACATTTGATATAATAAAGCTCCTATTATTTTTTGTAAGGGATTCACAAGGTTGTGGCCTTACATTTTGAATGATGCATCTTCGGAGATTGACAGGACACACCCATGAGTTTAAAGAAGAATATTCTGCTTTAATCTGTCTTTGTTATAGATTGCAGGTGTATTAATGGAGGGTCTGAACTACAACTGATGAGTTAGTTTGTTTCTTGCTGTTGTTGACAGACGGTGTCTGTCTGAGGCTCCGTCTCTTTGAGCTCATAAGGGGATTAAAGTGGTTTGGTCGTAGACACACACACACACACACACACACGTTCTTCCTCTACACTCTGATCTTCCTGATGAGCGGTGTTTATCAGCCGGTTCGCTCTACTGGCAGAGACATGTGAGCTGGCTCAGAGTGTGTGTCAGCAAACTTATGTGCATGTGTGTTTTTGGAGGTCATGCAGGACGCATTGGAGCTGCTTTTTTGTCCCTTTGACTTCTTTTTAAACCATTTTTGTCTGACAGTGTGTGTGTCTGCTTCTTGTTTGTTTCGTTCTACAGGGGTCCAGAGAGCAGCCGAGAAGAGGAAGCGTCGGTAACACCGCCAACATGGACCAGCTACTAGGAGGTACACATTCGGACTTTTCTTTAGTAGTTCTTTGGGCATTTTATATGTGTGTGTGTGTGTGTATGTATGTGTATATATATATGTATATATATATATATATATATATATATATATTTTTTTTTAGGTAAAAAGGAAGGAATTAAATGTAGAGAAAGCTAAATGGGGAAACATGCGAAAAATGTCCCTTTCCAGCTTCAAACCGGAAACATGGAGCACTTTAACAAATACAAATAAGATTTATTTGTTTTTTCCTACTTTCTCCTTTTTAATATGTATTTCTTAAGCTGCTAAATGCCCTTATGTTCACCAGATAGACGCTAACTGTGTCAGTCTGCTTCTGAGCAGGTTGTGTACAGTGAGTTTTTAAAGTGCATTTTCACTTTCCTGCTTTGGCCAAAAACAACAGAGGGTCATGAGAGTGAACTAAAGCTGTAAAGATATAGCTCTAAAACCCAAATAATGAGCTAAAAGATGCTAAAACATCGAATAGAGCTCAAAATGGCTACCTGGAAACAAGATGGAAACAAAAACATGGAATTGGCCTGAAAATCAAAAAGAAACTGACATTTTAAATAAAAAGCTCTTTCTGTGATAATGCTCTAGTGACCCATTGTTAACATAACAATATTGATTATAGCTGCTTTTAAAAACAAATATAAAGACAAATGGATATTCTTTCCGTCAAAGGCATAAACATCCCTGAATGCTCTCACATTCACAAGCCTTCATCTGCACACCCAGCATTGTTAGGCCTCTCAGTTTCTTCACCCAAACACGCTGTCGTCCCGCCTTCCTCGGGATGGATTACATCCTTCCCAGAAGTGAGCGCTGCACAAACTCTGGTCAGCTCCAGAGAGCACAGGAAGTGAGGCAGACCCCCCCCCTCCCCCCTCCCCCTGCACACTGCACACTCCACACCACTCCTGACCTCATGTTCCTGTCCACAGCCTGCATGACTAACCATCTGAACCGGGATGGGTGGAAGTAGACCCTGAACAGAAACATCTTGTCTTCACTAAGAGAATACTTTAGTGTCGGATCAAGTCTGACATTTTTACTGCATCACAAGCTCTATTTTCAACATGAATAAGGATATTGCATAATTAAGACAAGGAAACAAGCATTTCATGTAGCATCTAAATCACTGAAGACAATATGTTTAGATACTTTAACTCACATTTGATCTGGGATTTAACTCCCGATTTGATTTTAGGAGTGCCTGGTGCACAAAGAGGGCTTTAAGCATAAACGTGGGACCCTGTATCTCCCATCTGATTGGGCCTCAGAATCCATCAAAAAATCACATTAAGGTTAAGATGCTGTTTTAACTAAATGTGTTCCTGACGTTTTCTAACCAGTTTGAAAAAATCAGCTTCAAACGAGGTCAACTGTGCTTTATAAAACATCACATTTGGTTTTGCTCGGTGTGATTATTTGTTGATAAAGTTTGAAACGTTGGCATCAGTTTTACCTCGTCAGTTTTGTGTTTTTGTATCAGATGGAAGTCTTGCAGAGTCCACGCCTCTCCGGGACAGGATGGCTCTTTATCAGGCGGCCATCTCCAAACAGGAAGTCACACCCTCCTCTGTCAGTGTGAGTACTCGTGTCAATCAGACAAAACAAAATGCATTTCATTACAGTTATCTTTACTGGAGAAACGTTTCATACTCAGTACTTCTAGTTAGGTAAAAGTATCAGCATCTAAATTTAACTTAAAGTACAAAAATAAAAGCTTACATTGTGCAGTAAAAAGATATGTACTTGAGTGTCTGTTCACCAATGCTAACTGATTTGTTAAAGGGACACTCCATTGATCTTCATAGCCTTATTTTGATATGTAGTGCCTTTTTTACGTTTCAAGTGGATTTCTTTTTTTATTTAGTTATTTACAGCCTTATTCAAATGTATTAGTTTTAAATTTTATTTGTATTCAGTTATTTTAGGCAATTTTCAGTGTTATTTTAAAGCTTAATTCAGTTTTATATATTTTTTTAAATACAGCTTAAAGGATGAGTTTGTGATCTTTTAAAGTTACACTGAGTTAAAATGTTTTATTTGTGATTCTCTCAGGGTGATCAGCAGGACAGTTTCTGTGGAAAGCAGAAGGAGAACGTTCCTCCGTGCTCTCTGGACTTTGTGAGGAGACTTATTAAAAAATAATTTGATTATAAAAACGTAATATTTCAGACGTGGTAGATGTTTCAGTGCATGTCTGTAATTCCTGTCACATTGTAACATGTGATTGCTTTGCCCTCTTTTATAATCTTCCTTTCTTTCTCTTGTTACAGAGTTTAGAGTGCGAGGCAAACGGCAGGAAAGGTTTTACCTCCGAGAGCAACGGTAATTCACTTTCCTGTCTTGATCTGACCTCAGATCATAGGAATTCTCCCCTAATGAGAACTTGGCAATCGCTCCGTCATTACAGCAGATGTTTGTGTGGTTAATGGATTTGAAGCGTCTGAAGTAGATTAATACAAAGAATCCAGTCTGTAAAAGTGTTTCAGAAATGCCAGAAATCTGAGTTATTTATAATTAATTTAACAACTACAGTGTTTCTGAAATGAGGTCATGAGTACACAGAGTACTTTGGAGTACTGCAGTGGGTATGTGAGATTTTAAAACATTTTATTATTTAAAATATAATGGTCATGCTCAATTGCTAAAATATTTCTACTATATTAAGTTTAATTAAAACATTTAAGTTAGATAAAACTCATTCAATCGTACTTTTTTCAATGTAATTGTTAACAGAGGTAAACTGTCCACTTCCAGGGAAGCCAGTTTCAATATTAAATGAAGAAAGTGTTGTTCAAGTGTAGCAGAAATGGCGCTATGAAAACAGAGGAAGAAATGATAAAGAAAATAAAAACCGAGCAAAAAAAATAAACCGTCCATTCAGGTTTTCAAAATAAGATGTACCTGGAAAGCTGCAATCCTCCCGGTTAGTTGGCATTCTTTGCAGGCAGAAATGAGCGATCTCAATGTTATGTTGGTAAAAGAATTGGTTTTGCAGATAATTTATTGATTTATTCTAACATAAGAAATGTAGCGTCAGGCGTTTGCAGCACTGCATCGTACCTCTTTTAATATAGGATCGTGCTTTCTACCAAACATGTTTTGCAATGGCTGAAAAGCTGTTTCAAAGGGGGCTCTGAGTATCTAATACGTGTAATACACATGTCATTGTATGTGTAATCTATAATTGTATGAAACATGAATTCAGCTCCATCTAGTGGTTACAACTTGTCAACTCCTTTTCTTCATACTAGTCTTTTTCTTTTTTTAAATAACCCAGCAGGCTCCACCAACGGCACTCCTGTATCCTCCAATCAGAAAGACTCCGCTCAGCCCAAGACCTCCAAAGTGAGTCCTCACAGGAAAAAAAAATGTATTTGAATGTTAACATTTGGCTGATTTAAAGCTAATATACCTGCAGGATTTTGGCCATTCTGAATGTGTATCCTGATGATTGAGAACACTTTTTGCTCAGCTCAATCAAATGTTGTGTGAATGAATTAAATTGACTGTTTATGTGTGTGTAGAACTTCCGGCTGCCTGTGAGGGAGACGTGTGTGACGTGCCTGAAGACGGTGTATCCTCTGGAGAGACTCGTGGCCAATCAGCACGTTTACCACAGCTCCTGCTTCCGCTGCTCACACTGCAGCACCAAACTCAGGTTAGGACCACACACACACACATACATACACACTTTCTGAAAAGAGCCGGAGCTCATATTATTACACTGATGGAGTGTACAGACCATTTAAAAATGTCCACTTACCGCAGTGGCCCTGCTTTGATTCCAACCTGTCTAATCTCTGAAATAATGGGATGGATGGATGAGTACTTTATTGATCCCAATTTGGGAAATGTTTGCGTTGCAGCATAAAAAAACAAGGCAAAATATTTCTGAAGCAGAAATAAAATAGCATTAGCAAAATATACATGTCGAAATACAAATTTCCAGTAACAAAATATAATGCAGGATATTTATTAATTGTGCAAGAAATGGATTATTCAATATTATATTGAATATAAATGTAAAATATACAGTGTCCACTTATCAGCCCAAAAAGTTGGGTACTTTCATTGCATGCATCCCAGGTTGCAATATGTCTGCCCTGCTAAGAGTGCGTTTGCTGCTAGAAAATAATGTGTTTCTCCTTGACTTTTGGCTTAGTAAGTGAAACAGATTTGCTGTCATTTTCGTTTGAGTGTGCACTTCCTAGAAAGTAAATGTTAAATCAGGATACTGATTGTTGCTGATTTGCTGCTGCCTGAATCTGTTTGTCTGATGATTGAAAGAACTGTCTCAGATTCACAAAGGCCATAGAACTACACAAACAAATATATTGCTTGATGGTCATAGCAGCTTTTTGTATCCTCTAACTGAGGTTTCTCCCATTTTTCCCTTTGAAATGTGGGTTTTTCTCTGGAAGTGTTTCCTTGTACGATGTGAGGGTCTAAGGACAGAGGGTGTCGTTTTTCTCATACTGATATTCTGAACAAACTGTGCTGTTGTATTTGCTGTAAAGTGTCTTTACTGTAGGGTATTTTATTATATGTACAGCACTTTGGCTCGACCAAAAATCGTTTAAAAATGTGTTATATAAATAAAACTTGATTTGATAATCATGTCTTCTTTTGTATCTCCCCCCCTCCTGGTCAGTTTGTTGAACTACGCCTCGCTGCACAACAACGTCTACTGCAAGCCGCACTTCTCCCAGCTCTTCAAGGCCAAAGGAAACTACGACGAGGGCTTCGGCCACCGGCCCCACAAGGAGCTGTGGGAGAGCAAAGTGGAGAGCGCCGAGACCTCTCCTCAGCCCAAAGCCAAGACCCTGAGCCCGGAGGAGGAGGAGGAGGAGGAGCGCCCCAGCGTGGAGGACTCCCCGCTGGCTAAAGTCAACGTGCTGACGGCCACCATGGAGGCTCTGGGGCAGGGGGCGGGGGAGAAGTCCGACAGACCCCCCGAGGCCCGCCGGCTGAAGATCTCCTGGCCTCCTCGCACGGAGCAGGAGGAGTCGAGCGGCCGCAGTGGAGCCGCCACAGAGGAGGGGTCCCCAGGGAAGTCTGTCAAAGCAAAGTGGCCCCCAGAGGAGGATTCAGTTCCCGAGCAGCCCAAAGAGGGCCCTTCTCTGCGCCGCACCTCCTCCCTGAAGGAGCGCAGCATGCCCTTCACTCTGGCAGGACAAACTCCAGAGGTGAGGAAGACGAGTCCTCCTCCTCCTCCTGGCGACGACGGAGATCTGAGTCCTGAACCTGCAAGCATGGAGCTGCATGATGGAGGTCATTCCCCCGCTGAGGAGGTCCTCCTCAGCTCAGGAGGAGAAGAGGAGGAGGCTGAAAACATGCCGGAGCAGAATCTCACCAGAGAGGAGGAGGACACCCCGGAAGAAGAACCTGAGGAAGAGGAGAAGATGGAGGAAGAGGAGGAGGATGTGATGGAGGAGGAGATGCCGCCTCAGAAACGGGAGGAGATGATCTCGTCTCCTGACGGCGAGGTGGAGGCCAGTCGCTCCTCCCAGGATGTCGGGTTCTGGGACAGCGAGGATAAGGAGGCGGAGGATAAGGAGGCGGAGGATAAGGAGGAGGAGGATAAGGAGGAGGTGCAGCAACAGGAGGAAGAGGAGGAAGAGGAGGGGCTGACGGTGGAGGATATGATCAAGAGAAACCGATACTACGAGGAGGAAGAGGAGGCGGAGGATGTATAAAATGATCACGATGACATCAGTGGACACTCGGAGGACTTTCCTTCTTCTTCTTCTTCTTTCAGATGTTTTCTTCTTCTCTTCCTAAAAGAGCGTTGCTGTGTGAACTCTACTGAACTCTTTGTGCCTCTTTCTGAAACCTTCAAAGCCATTCCTACAAGAACGTTTTTACAACACTGTGTCGCTCGGACATCATTTGTTTTTAAATGTAAAATATTTAAACTTACGCCCCATGTAATGAATATTTGTATCTCAAAATGTCCAATGGTTATGACACAGAACTATTTTTGTGTAATTTTCTATTCTCATTAGATGCCTCTTAATCTGGACTGAAACTGCTGTTTTAAGTACCAATGATGTGAGCCTATTATTATACCATGATGTGGGATTGTTACAGCTAACGTAGCTTCTAAACGGAGTCACTTTTAATAATACATCCAAAAGAAGCCACTGTGTTTTAGAAAAGCCAGCCCAGCACTTTGATCTGTTACCATTTTCTGTGAAGAAAACATCTTTGTCACTTTCTTTTCTATTCTTTATGTACATGTTAAACTCAAAAAACACCTTGTTACTTTTTGTTTTACAATTCAAGAGTTATAACTGGATCTGAATTTTTTTTTTTTTTTTTTTTTTAAAACCAGGGGACCAAATATCCTAGATTACTACTGTTTAAATAAATTGTTATATACAACATGTTTCGTCTTGAGTTGTTCTTGTTTAACCCAGGAAGGATAGGAGGACTTTTATAAAGCTATAGGCTGTCTAAAATCAGTTTTCCAGTCTTAATTATAACTTCAAAGTTGATGTGAAACTGATTATGCCTTTACAGTACATTACATGTTACATGTTAGACGCTTTTATCCAAAGCGACTTACATACTCGATACTGTGGGCAATCCCCACAGGAGCAATTTGGGGTGAAGTGTCTTGCCCAGGGACACAACGACATGCTGACTGCAGTGGGGTTTGAACCTGTCCACTGCGCCACATGCCTTTTATTGACCTGAACGCAGCGTTAGATGTTCAGTGGGCTCTATCATGAGTTTCTTGGTTTTTGTGTTGTATAGTTTTGTTGGTGCATGTAAATCAGGGGTCTCAAACTCAAGGCCCGGGGGCCAAATCCGGCCCGCGACTTCATTTTATGTGGCCCCGCAAGAGCTTGCAAAGAATATAATACGTTTTATTATACGGTTACATGCCACTTTACAGAAGCAGGTTGCCCATAAACTACATGTCCCACAATGCATCTCGTTTTGTGACATGCGCACTGAAGAGACTTGCAATTATTTGCCCTGGACTTCTGCTTTCAGATGTAGTTAATTACTAAGTTATTATCCTATCCGATAATAATCCAATTCAGAGGCAATAATGTAATATTATTTTATATATATATATATATATATATATTATATTTATATAGTTACAACCGGCCCTTTGAGTGCAACCTTTATGCAAATGTGGCCCGCGATGAAATTGAGTTTGACACCCCTGATGTAAATGGTCTGCAAAGGCTAAAATCCCAGAGTTTCTCTCCACGCAGGTGTAATGTTTAACATGTTCAAAGTCTTACTTTAGCCGGCAGCATGCTAACATTGACTAATTAGCAAAAAACAGATTGATGGTAAGGGGATTTGTTGTGCAGGATTTTTGGTCGTAAATGGTATTGGATAAATAAAAAAATGTGACCTGCTTTGGGTGCTGGAGTATGTCAGAGGGACAAATTGTTAAGTTTCATCTGAGGACTGAATGCACTTCATAGTAGGGGAGACCAGGGACAGTTGTAACACGGGACGGTTGTAACACCTTCAATATCTCCAATCACAAACTAGCTAGAGTGATGAAACTCACTCTGCACATGCGCAGTTAGATGGAAAGGTCGCTGTGAAAAAAAGGAGCCATGTTTAAATCTCTCGCGAAAGATATCAGCAAAAGTGTGTTTCTGAGGTAAAGAAATTACAAAAATTATATGATGTATTTTTTGGATACTGTCTTGAGGTCAAATGTCTAGGAATCCAAACTAGTATTATTAGAATCACTGTTTTGTAAGCTAGATATAACTAGCTAAATATGGGTCAAGCTAGCAATCAGGCAGGTTCACAGGGGGTGAACAATTACTGGTGGTCCTGGGACGGTTGTACCACGGACCACCTGGGACGGTTGTAACATGGCACATTTACAATGATGGCTCATTTGCTCGAATGTTTCAATATTGTTGATTGGTGTGCATTGTCCCTGTGTGAGGTGGGTCTGGGTGGATGCAAGAGGAAGACTTTTTGGTCTTCCTCAAGCACTTCCAGACCCATACCAAGAGCTCACAGGAGTCAAAAGTGCTGGTGGTTCTGGACAATCATTCCTCCCACCTTTCTGTGGAGGGGATTCATTTTTGCAGGAGCCATGGGATCATCCTCCTCTCTTTTCCTCAACACTGTTCTCATAAACTACAGCCCTTAGATCGCACTGTATATGGGCCACTGAAGAAGCACACAATGCACACAGCCACAATGACCATTTATGATCTGCCGGGCATTGTGAAGAGTGCCCTTCCTCTGGCTGCAACGCCCTCAAATATCCAGGCAGGGTTCGCGTGCACTGGAATTTGGCCTTTTAATAGACATATTTTCAGTGACATCGACTTTGCGCCATCCCAAGTCACAGACCGCCCACCACCAGAGCCTTCTACCAGTGCAGCTCCAACACCAACTGTGGCATCCTCTCCTCCACTCGCAGCCTTTTACTACCTTTGTTGTCATGTAGTATGAACAAAGGTAACTGTTATTAACATGTTACAACCGTCCCTGGCATGTAGTGTTACAACCGTCCCTGGCATGTAGTGTTACAACCGTCCCTGGCATGTAGTGTTACAACCGTCCCTGGCATGTAGTGTTACAACCGTCCCTGTGTACAGTTGAGTTTAAAAAATATATACATTTTCCAACCTGTATTTATTTAATAAAAACATCTTAAATACATTGTTTCAGTAGTTGACACATTGAAAATGTATAATATAGCAAAATGGCTATCCTAGTGTAAATGGTTTTTTACTTATTGGGGAAACCCCAAAAAGTGTTACAACTGTCCTTGGTCTCCCCTACTATCATGACAAATACTTGAGACATTTAACTCGATGAAGCAGGAACACACTGAACTTACCACGTATTTCTTGCAAGACATCTGGACTCTACTGAGATGACATGAATAAATTAAATGTTATATTCAGCTCAATCAGTATTGAGGCGTTCAATTACCGATGTACTGAAGTCCCTATCCTGAGAAAAAAGTTAACATGATTTACTGAACGGCACAAAATCAGCAAAGTGTTTTGTAATTGTTAAAGTTTACCAATCCCCATGTCACGAGGACACAAACAGGTTTTCACAAATGCTTGATTAAAAAGTACATTTCAAATAAAACACATTCCATTACTGAAACCTTTATTGAAGATCAAACATGAACTGAACAATGTCTTCAAAGTGCAAGTCAACGAGGCGAGGAGTTATCACACGAGTAAAGAGACGCTACAAACATTTAAAACCAGATTTAACTAAGAATTTGGTTGAACCGTGAAACTTTGTAAACGTTACAATAAGTGACTTTAATACCCTGAAGTGTCTCATTAATGTCTTTGCACCGTCCAGCTGGCATAATTAACATAAGTCTCTATCCAGCCCTGCAAGAGGACAACTTAGTGATTTACATTTGTATTCACATCATTAATGGCTAAAACAAGTTGCATAACAACAGCTGATCACAAACATGGTCTCCAGCAGATATGTGATTTCAAACGTAACCCTTTGTAGGGATTTTTACATCAAGTGTTATTCCTAGCACGACTGTCTGCAGAATGAAAGCTGAAACACTACAGAAACCTGCAGTTTGCACCTTTACAGGAATGTAGTTTATGTTGCAGGGCTGCTGATGTTGTGATGGACAAACACAGATGTGGGGAAGGTTTTAAAGATTAAGATTATACGATATGTTTAGAATTTGTGTGGAAACCAGCTCCCACTGACACAATACAACAAACTACAATATTTCTCATTCACGTGCACAGATTGCTGAAGTCTGTATCACAAATCCAGAAATCCAGAAATCATCCTCCTAACAGAAGAATAACCGTTTTTTTTTACTAATCCAGTTAAGAGTGATTATTCAACAAGATTTAAACATCCACGTCTGTTTTCAGGTATTTGAGAGGACTAGTATGTTAAATAAAAGGTTGTAATGTACCCCCCTTTCTAGTAGTGGGTTTGTTTGGGACTAGCTTTACGTTTGGAAATGAAATAAATCTGTGGCTGTGATCCAAACTGCAACTAATGTACTTTTTTGTTTACTAAGTGTGGCGTTCTAACGTGGATTTTTTGTACATATGAGATATTCCTGGATGTAGACTTTATTAGAAAACATTTTAGTTTAAGATGCAAGTTAACTGTACATAATTGACCGCCCCAGAATGCATTGCTGCTCCTCAGACCGTTTAAGAATTAACCGTCGTATACAATTATTATAACTATTATATACTAAGAGGAGAAACGCGGGAGCTCACATATAGGACATGGTGTGGTAAACAGATTTAATTTTAAGTATTTAATCATTAAAAAATAAAACCTGAAAATAATAAATTCAGTTAAATCTGCCATGAAGAATTGTCGTTTAACTGTCGGTTGGAAGACGCCGATACAGAGCCGTGTGACGCAGAAAAAAAGTATTGCTTGAGGCTTTGGTGTTTGTCGAATTGCATTGTGGGAAATGTAGGCTGAAGGTTTTAGGGAAGAAGAATTTAGAATATTTATTTATTTTCAAATCTATAATTATGATTTCTAAATATTCCACACGACATCTTATAGACTAAACAATCAAGAAAATGTTTGCACTGAATATTTAATAACGAAAAACGATTGTAGCAGCCCTATGCCTTTGCATGGTTACCATAGTGATCCAACACAGCTTGAAGTGAGTCAGCACAAAACCAGAGTCTCTGATCTGATCCCTCTTTGTGATGCAAACCTCTGGTGCTGCTGTTGATGATGATGATGCGCAGACACACAAACACAAACATGCAGCAATCACAAATCATCTTCATCCTTAAAACAAAAATAAAATCCCCCAGCAGTTAACTCTTCATCACATAATGTTATCACACAAATCATCCTCTGACTACTAAAGCAAGGAATTCATTTGGGAGGATCTCTTCTTGTAAACTTAACGGTCAAATATTAGTATAACTTTATAGTTAGAAAAACAGAAGAGGAAAAGTGAGACAGGAAATAATCCTTTGCATGCACTGAGGACAAATGTTAAAACCCAAAGTAACACATTACAGTTTGATGCAATCCAACACAGCAGCCAGAGCTGATTATATTTCATGATGATAAATTAAGCTGCATATGGATATATTGTATGGCTGATGATTGAGGGGTTGCATCAGACTGCAAGGGTCGTTTCAGTTTTGTCCACTCACTGTATGACTTAAATGTGTCCTCAGCCTCCCCCGAAGTGCAAAAACAAAACACATTCCCTGAACCTTTTTTATGTAAAATATTTTAAATGTGTATTCTGCAGATGCCCCTGTAGAAAACATACCTGACATGTTTGTTTAAGTGTAGTCCTTCTCCGATTAGAAACAGTTAACAGCATCTGAATGTGAGGTTGTGATTGCCAAACCTGTAATGATCAGCTTGTATACAATGAGCGTGGATGCATTTGTGAAATATTGCAACAGATCCTCGGTTTCACTTCCAGCGAAGCTCCGGGAGGCAGCAGGTCCCTGAACGCTCACAGGAGGGCAGCCTCACCCAGAGAGAGGGAGGAGGAGAGAGAGAGAGGGAGAGGGGGAGGGGGAGGGGGAGAGACAGAGAGAAGGGGGAGAGACAGAGAGGGGAGAGTGTATTCCCTGAAACTGAGCTCTGACTCGACACAACAGTTGGCTCTGCTTAGCTTTGGGTCGTGACAAATGAAATGAACAGAGGTCATGAGAGGGGGTTTAACAGCTCAGTGTTGGACACACTGCATGCAGAGGGAGGTTAGATATGAAGGTGATAGCCGTACAGATTGCATAGAATAAACCGTTAAATATATATATTTTCTTTTAGGTGCAGCATGCTGTAACCTACACAGCTTATGTTTGACTTCTCTGCTACTGTACAACCAGGTGTGTGATCCGGTGGTGATTCTTTGATGAGACAATGTACAGGTCTTATAAATAAAAGCAGAGACAGCGCCGGTGTGTTTGAAGTGTTCGCAGCATGCTAGGCTAGGTGTGAGCTCTGCAGGGCAGCCAGCTGTTAGCAGAGCGTCACAGTGGGGGTCCGCTCAGCCACTGAGGGGGTGCAGGTCCACCTTCACCTTCTCCCCGCTGCTCAGCATCCCCACGGTGGGGAACAGACCCCCGGGAGGGACCCTCATCTCCCTGCGGCCCATCAGCTTCCCGTTCCTGGTGAAGAACACCTGCAGCACCACAAGGGGGCGACAACCAGTTAAAAACACACTGATAAAAAAACCTATATATCAATTATTATTGTTTGTTTAAAGTTATTTTGATGATGTCTACGATGCTGGCCGCTTTAGACTATTCTCAGGAATTGTCAATGTAATACCCAGTTTATTTTTTCCTCTTGTACGCCATGTAAAGGTTTCGGGTACCTACTTACTGTATATGTCTTTGCTTTATTGTAACTAAAAGAACAATTCTAAATAAAGTATTAAAAGAAAAAAAAACGCTATTTTGATGGTACTGTTATTTATTTATTTGTTATTATTATTAATTATATTATATTATATTAGAGTAGACTTTATTGATGCCAAATTGCTTTTGCTTTTTGTTACAGTAGCATGTCAAAAACATTGCATATGTTAAAATAAACCAACAGTAAATATACACGTACAAACAATAGAAAGATAGAAAGACATATATCCATAGAGTATAGAGTTCACAATATAAACAGTTACAGAATAAGTTAGAAAATTAGTTAGTAGTCTGAGGCCCCGGCTCCACGGGAACGCATACAGCAAAACGCATCGGAGTAACGCAAACGCAACCGCAAAAAACCTTCCGTCCCCACGCAATATACACCGGATTGTGTCAAGCTCCACGAGACGGCTCCGTTTACATCCAACCGCTGGAAAAGCTGCAGTACATATGCCGAGCCTGTACGTGGCGCTGTAACTTCCTCCACAAAAGCAGCAACTTCCTCCACAAAAGCAGCGAAGAAGAATGGTTGTCATGGCTGCACTTCTGTTTATTCTCCTTGGTGGGGGCCGACGGAACCGGGCAGAGTTTTTCGCCGGTCAGCGTGTGTTAAAGTTTAAATCTTCCGGACAAAATTATAAAAGTGCCGGTCAAAGGTCTTCATTGTTATTTATTGAGCTTTAAAACAAATGAATAACGACGATATAATGATATATAATCATAAAATACACGGAGGCTGTCTCTTTTTCCTCTCTTCTGACAGCGTCAGTGTCTGTCTCATGCAGCAGCTGATCCTGTAATGAGTGACCCGACAGTAAAAATGAACATATTTATAACTAGTTTAGGTAGTTTGAGAGGTAATTAAAATAGCTAAGGGTGATGATCTGACTTGAAGTGTGTGTTTTGCTCCCGCTGCATCACAGCGAGAGGAGCTGCGTGTCTCCGTCCTCAGATTAGACTTCACTCGCGTTTATGTCCATATCGAGATAAAGATAAATAATCTGAATTCAGTGTACAGTGTACTTTTGCGGGGGTGAGCAGCAGAGGCGGGGGGAGGCGGGGCTATTGCGTCGTCATTATCAGAAACGGATGACCGTATAGGCGACCACACGGCCCCGTTGGACCCCCCAGAGCGCTCCGTTCCCAGATCTATCCACCTTTGGACCCGTTGTCGTTTGCAGGGTCTGTTTCTACGTTTCCCTTACGGCGTCGTCGAGCTTAAAGGGCTATACGCAAGAGAAATATGCGGATTCAACCCGTTTTCGTTCCCGTGGAGCCTAGGCCTAACCTACGACTACATATCATTTAAACAGAATTTATTATTATTTGTTATGACTTTTTATGTGATAATTCTACTCTTTGTTTTACTTTTTATTTCAGCAGAAATAATACGTTTGTTTTGTAAAAAAAAGTGTTTTCTGGGGGCAGGGTATAAAAAAAAATGGAAAACACGCACACTTCTGTACTTTGTATTTTTGCACCGAACATATCGTAAAGCTGCTATTTTGTTTATTCTTATCAGTTAATGATTGAATCATTATTTTGTCTGTACTGTTATTACCTTATTTATATTATTATGAATATGTTTGATGTGATATTTACTCCATTAGTACTACGGGGTATATGCAGGAATCCTGAAGTCAAATGTAATCCCTTTTAAGACCTTTTTTAAGACCCTTTCCATACATTTTAAGACCTCATCGCCACTTGGAGTTTTAACCGGTTACCTTGGCGACACACTTTACCTCACATTGACTATATACAGTATTGATTGTCCTTCCTCCTTATCTTCCAACCATTTGGACGCAGACTTGCATTTCCCCATAACGATGTTGTTTAACAACCGGCGTAAACGGGCCTTCGCGCTATCAAGCAGTGAGCGTGCGATGTCCTGTTCGGGATGCCATAAATAAACTACACAGAATCACACTACACACCTACGCAATGATTACATTCAGGCAGACTGTAGAATACAACCTCTTTGGACAATTGATATACTTATTGAAAACAAGCTACAAAATGTAATACCTTGGAAAATGCCGTTTCATACTTTTTAATACTTTTTAATAGCCTTCATTTTCGCTAAATTGATTTATCAACTTTTAATACTTTTTACGACCCCGCGGACACCCTGTACTAAGACAGTTTTTTGTACAATATATTTTTGTTTTTCTGTATTTTGCATTTTGCAATTAACGAATTGCAAAGCTGCTATGTCGTTGACGAAAAAGAAAATTCAAATGAAATCCATGAATCCGCTGAAGGAGCACTGGAATAATCACTCATAATAAATGCCTTATGATGATGACTGATGAGACAGACTTCTCTTGAGAGCACACGGTGTGCCCGTTGTAAGCGGGAATTATGTGCAATGAGGAAATATCTTTAAACAAATAAGTGATAGTGTAATGTCTGCGTTGTTCAAGTGGGGGGGGAAGAAAGTCAATGTTTACTGAACATGTCTCTACTAAATGAGAGTGATCAAACATTATCCAGCCGTTCAAAAGAACATCAACAAGCTTTTCAGCGCTAACACGGAGCGCAAACAGCGACACACTGAACCATCGTGGAGTCACTTATCAAACATTTACTGTGCCACCCACTCGAGAAAAGAAAAGGCTTAACTGCTATTGACTCTCAGATGAAGGGTGAACTGCAACAAGCTTCTACTTTGATCAACCTCCCCCTCCCCCGCGCAGCAGTGCATTTTGGGTAATGTAACCCACTGAATTATTATGGACCAATCCTCTGTTTTATTTCATCCTCACCCTGTCATAGTTTTATTACAGCGTGCACTCACTCACCCGCTCCCCGCTGGCTTTGACTTGCACAACTGTGTGGGTGAGTCGAGACAAAGTGGAAACCGCAGAATTTAAAACAATAACAAACCAACAACAGCTGGAGCTTGAAAGCGGTCAGCGATTAGAGAGCAGAGAGATTTCCTGGAAGGTCGTAACAGTTGGGGGTGGATTGGAATATTAACAAACAGTTACCAGTGGAGTTGCACCAGAATATCAAGGTTGTCATATTGATGCAAACTGCTGAGCTCGTTGTGAAAAACATTTTAAATATCAGCAATACAATATATTGACCAAGCGTCCTGATCTATTTAGGCTGTAGATTATCTATATCAGGGATACGACTCCGTTGCAAACTGACAGGACGCCATGTACCAGTTCATAAACAAAACATTAATGATATTAATACAATTTAATGAACAACATTTAGATGTCCACAAATTATCTTTCTTAGAGATTCCTTACTTTCAAATGAACTTAAGGTTTCAACTAAATTAGGTCAATCGGCACATGAATCGACATGTGACAGATTCATCTGACATCAATGAGTTTTTACTAAATCAAATGTGTCATGCAACAACTCGACTGTTGTAATGATTCATACATATAACGTTTATTTCAATGCTGGTAAGTGATGATTTAGAGAAAATAGATGATGTTGTCCGGCAGTGGCTCAGTCAGTAGGGGCTTGGACTGGGAGCTGTAGGGTCGCCGGTTCAAGTCCCCGACCAGACCTAAAATATGGAGTGTGGACTGCTACTTGGAGAGGTCCCAGTTCACCTCCTGCCCTGCCGTGGTGCCCTTGAGCAAGGCACCGGACACCCCCCTTCCCCCCCCTCACTCCCATTGCTCCCCGGGCGCTGTACAATAGCTGCCCACTGCTCCTAGTACTAGACTCCTGGTACTAGGATGGGTTAAAAGCAGAGAACACATTTCACTGTGTGCTCGGCATGTGTGACCATTAAAGAGGGGTTTCATCCCTCCCCCAATTCTAATTCTAATTTAAAAAGTCTTTGTATTGTTTTCTAGGAAAATAATGGTGCATTTTAAGAGTTGGAGCAGAAATGATATCATAGTAAAATAGCCCAAAAGTGGTTTTCATAATTAACGAGTGGTTTTTCTTTGTGTGAATTTTTATGATGGACAAAATGTGATATTTTGGAGGGAGGTTCATTCTTGATTCAAAGCGATTTTACTCTGTCCGGCTGAAGGTGTGAATAACTGTTTATCAAGTTTACAAAATAAAATGAACCGTTGATTTGTTAGTGTTATCAAGTTCGCTAAGCTCTTCAATTTCAATTCAGATATATACTGTACATATTCTTAAAGCAACTTTTTATATTTATTTTTATTTCAACTAGCAGGTATACAGAACATATTTTTGTAGTATTTTTCCAATTTCTTATCTACATTTTTGCTTTTATTTTTGATTTCATTTTGCCTTACTAAGTTTTATGTTATGCACCAACACCCCAGACAGAAATCCTTGTACGTGAAAACCTACTGGGCAATAAACCGCTTCCTGTTTCAGATTTACAGCTTGTTATGCTGTCCCCTAGTGGCCACATGAACATACCTGACAGCAGGTTTATATTACTTCCTGTTTAAATCGTAAAATGCTAAGGAATCTCTAACATTCACAGTTTATGTTTGTGCAACAATGGTTAGCACAGCTGTGTGCTTTTCCCTCACCGTGACCTTCCTGGCCTCCTGTCCCTGCTCGCCCTCTTCCCCGTCTTCCTCTTCCTCCTCTTCGTCGTTGAGGTACAGAATGTTCTGGACTCCTGCCCGACCCTGACGGACCTCCAGCCGATCCCAGTCGTCCACGTCACCTGAGGACAGCACAGAGCGCCGTGGGAAGAAAGGCTTATTTTTATAATAAAAAAAACAGGACGAAAACATAGAAAGGAAAAGTAAGACAGCTAAACAAGTTCAAACATTTATTTATTTTTCAACAGGAAAAGCAGAAATTCTAGTAGCGCTGCACAATTGGGAAAAAATACCCACTTGCAATTATTTGAACTGTTAATGCAATTGGGATATGCTTTGCGTAGTTGAGGGAATTATCGCTTTTGAAACATTATTAAGCATTAGCATTCGAAAACAAGAGGATCTGTCCCAAACAAGGTTTTTGATTAGGTCCGTAGAATCGTTAAGTCGTGGCTGAACCTGTCACTGTGGTCCTGCCTGACTCTCATCATACTACTTCCCTGATGGCTCCCACAGGATTGTTGGCATCCTCGTGGATTCATCTTCTTATTATAGACACATGCATTTCCAAACATTTGGTCTACCTATGTTGTAAATGTATTATCTCTTCGATTTACACACGGCATCTATTGCACGTCTGTCCGTCCTGGGAGAGGGTTCCCTCCTCTGTTGCTCTCCCTGAGGTTTCTCCCATGTTTCCCTTTAAACTGTGGGGGTTTTCTCTGGAAGTGTTTCCTTGTACGATGTGAGGGTCTAAGGACAGAGGGTGTCGTATTGTCATACTGATATTCTGTACAAACTGGGAAGTCCACTGAGACACATTTGTGATATTGGGCTATATAAATAAACATTGATTGATTACTTAATTTACATATTTTTCTCAATGTCTTTCATTTTGGTAAAGCACTTTGAATTGCCTTGTGTTGAAAGGTGCTATATAAATAAACTTGCCTTGTCTTGCCTGCTTTACCAAATATTGGGCTTACTGCATTTTCTTGCACTATATGTACTATGTACTAGTCCATATTGGGATTTTTTATCCAATTTCAATTAATTGTTCAGCCATTAAGCCTGCATACCTCCCATAGCTGACTGCACCTTAGCCAACAAAATATATACAATTCTGTATACCCATCCACTTGAAAAAGTTTGGCTTATTTCAAGCTGTACTTGCAGGATTCTTGCTGTTCTTTTTTTGTACCATCCTGGTTGATTCTGAAAGACGCTTTGGATAACAGCATCAGCTAAATTAGATGTTTTATTTTGTTTATGAGTCTTAATAAAGTTGGATGATATTAGTTGCTCTCTCTGAATTGCAATAACTGGATTGGTGATGTATGAGAAGTTCCCCTTTGAGTGCTTGTTCTGTTTTCTGTGCGGGGGATCTTGGTTTGCTTCCAGTTTCTTTCCCAAGCGCAACACCATTAAGACTCCTTTAAGACCGAATGTTGCATTACTCTAAACCACAATAAGTAGGTTTAAGAGCAAAACCTCCCACGCCCGATTGTAATGAGTGACGGTTTAATCGCAGCGCCTGAACCCTCTGCCCTCACCTTCTTCGTCCAGGATGTAGTCTCGTGGGAACATGATGCCGCAGCCCATAATGTCGCCTTTCAAGCAGCGAGGACCGAAAGCGTCTCCGACCCCGCTGCCGTGGAAGACCTTGCCGTCGTCTATCAGAGGAGAAAGAAGGATTCAAAGGCTTTATTGTCATGCATTACAGTGTAGATGTTGGCAATGAAAAACGAAGTCTAAGTTCCAGGCTCCTCGAAAAATACAACAGTAAATATATTTAAAGGGGACCTATCATGCAAAATGCACTTTTGTACGTCTTTTATACATGAATATGTGTCCCCGGTGTTCCAGGGAACTCACCAAGTGTCAGAAGACACAACCCTCTCTATTTTCCTCCATACCCAAATCTCTAAAAAAGGGGCTGCAACGGATCTGATAAAAACTGATCCAGATTTGAACACTGTCCTGACGTCAGGACAGTGGCGCTACGGCTATTGGGCCAACTCCACCAATCAGGAGGAGACAGCCACGGCCATTGCCGTTCGAAAGCGCTGGAGACGCTGTAGTACATATGCCAGGCCTGTAGATGGTGCTGTTCTCACATGAATCATGCCCTTGCAAAAACAGAGCTAAAAAATGTCAAATTGAGCAAAATGAGGCATGGCTAAAATGCATGATCTGTTTGGTATTTTGAAAAAAAAAAAGTATAAATATGCCTTATATAGGTATGGTCCTATACTATATTATCCAAATATAGCATGATAGGTCCACTTTAAGACATACAGAGAAGACGTGAAATAATAAGTGCAAGGTGCAGGTTAAATGCAGTAATAAGTAACATATATACCCGTGAAATTAATTGTGATTTGACTACACTACTTTTATCTGACAGCTTTAATTTCATTAAATCAAGATATCTAAGAATTTATGAGAACAGCAGAATTTCTTTTGTAGATTTCAAGAAAATAATTTGGGAACTTTTTTGATATTTGTTCGAAAGGTTTCAAGTTACAACATTTCCTGGTTCCAGCCACACACATGTGAGAATGTGCTGCATTTCTTTAAATCGTTTGATAAATTAGTTTATATGTTATAATGTTGAACTGTTTTTCGGACAAAACTAACATTTGAGTTCTTAAAAACCAAACAATGAATACATTAATGGAGGAAATACAACAACAGTCACTGGTATATGTTAAGACTACTATTGTTACCCAATAATGTTAAGACTACTATTATGAAGTCAAATGGAAAAAAAACAGTTCAAACCAAATGGCCAAGTATCATTTATATTGCTGTTTATGATGATATATTGAATAAAATCAATGCAAGCTGAACCAGCTAACCTATAGCAAATTGATTAATGGATTAGGCAATGATGTATTTGTATCTTATCTTAAATATTGTTGTTCTTGTTGATGTTGCAAATGATGCTGCTCTGATGCAAGAAAAATGTCAGACTCAATCTGACAGTTTTATCATATTGTATTATTATAACATTTAAGTTTTTGCTGAACTCGACACGTGCCTAGCTGCTGTAGCTAGAAGTATTGATGCTACAGGTCTAATGGTGCTGATTGAAACTCTGCAAAGAAAGATTAAATATACTGTAAACCCCTGACTGAACTTTAGTTTGTAGACGTTTGAAATAACTAATGTCTCCTGCCAAACTGTAATTAGATCCTTCACACTTTAAAACAAACATTACTGCCTACAGCTGGCAAGCTAAATGTATTTAAGACTATTTGAAATAAAATGTAAGACTTATGTTTAAAGGCCTTCATATTAGGAAACGGCAGAAGTCTTGAAAACTCTTAAAAAGCCTTGAAATCAGACGTCCTGTGTAAGGTCATCTCTGTCCATGTGTCCCGATGCTGAACCTAACGTTACGTGGGCTTTGCTGCGTCTTGTAATGCGTTTACCGCAGCGTGCGAGATGGTCACATACAATGCAGTACTAACATACAGGACATCCTGACATTTCTGACAGATGATGATGTGCAAAGAAGGTGAAAGCAGCGCTCGTAAAAACAAAAAAACACTTAAAAACAACTAAAGGAAATCATCAAATCAACACATATTACATTCGCGAGAGACAACAATGGAAGAAAACGGGCAAAAGAAAAACACTGTGGAGGTAGCCTGCAGACGAGCTCTCCCCAAGCGAAGCGCAGCGGCTGCTGCTGGTAAATATTTATGGAGTTGTCATGGGACCCGTCCCCGGCTCAGGATACTGTTTAAACAATCTCTATCTGAGCCCCGGCAGGGAGACGGAGACACTATCATTACGGCTCCCATGCGGGCCCTTGTCACAACACCACGCTCCAGGCTAACCGTGGAGCCACGCCGGCACAGCGAGGCTCCGCTAAAAATAGCCGAGCAGGGCGTCTTTGGAGAGTGACGAGGGGCCGGAGCTCTGGACCTGGACCTGAGCTCTGGGGGGGGGGGGGGGGGGGGGGGGGGGGGGGGGAGGGGGGGTAGACGTCCAGGTTTGGGTTTGAGGATGGACTCAGTTCACTGGGACAGGAAAGGCAGGAGAAGCCTGGCGGAGCGTCATGTGGTTCAAAGGGATGTTCGCTGGAGGTCAACATTTCTGACTCACTTTTATATTTGAGGATACAACTCAACTACTTGGAAAATGTTAGGTTTGTTGCAACAATCATATTTTCTTTTTAATGTGTGTGTGTGTGTGTGTGTGTGTGTGTGTGTGTGTGTGTGTGTGTGTGTGTGTGTGTGTGTGTGTGTGTGTGTTTCATTACTTCTAAATCATGAGGGCTGATACGACAAGGAGATGGAACGATTAGTTGGTCGGAAAAAAGAATACAAATAACCAACATTTGACAAAGAATATAAAATAGAAATTTAGTTTAGTTTAGTTTCTGCATTTAAAAGGAGGCCCTATTGTGCTTTTTGGGGTCTTCCCTTTCCTGTAGTGTGTTATAAAGGTTTATGTGCATTTACCGTGCTAACCCACTTATAGGAGGAGTTTTCTCCCCTATGACCCATCATACTATTAGGAGCTGTGGTCAGATATTAAACAGCAATGCGGGGGTCCGATGCCTTGCTCAAAGGGCACCTTATCAGTGCCCAGGAACTGAACTTGCAACTCGTAGTACCAGACAACACTCTTACATGGTCCATTCTTGAAACAGCGACCCTATGTTTCCCAAAATAAGTTGAGAACTTGGCTACTGCCTCCGTCTTCAGACAATAACATGTTCTGTTGCTTTTTCTCAAGTGTGCTCTGGTTCTTAAGGAGGTCGGAAATTGAATCACAGGAAGCCAGCTCAAATAAGCGCTTGGCTGTGTTCAAAATTTGTGTTGGAGACCGGAGAGTTTAAAATTAGCACAGAGGTGTTGACCAAGGTTTGGCTCCGAGGCTGTTGATGGAGCAGAACACCTGTGATGGTGTTAATGCTAAAGGCAGGACCATAAGCTGAGGAAGTTGTTGGTAAAGCTAACACTGTGAGCTACTCTCTGGCCGCCAACAGGTGCTGGATGTGAGACGGATCCCAGCAGCAACCAGGAGGTGAAAACTGGAGCTGAGTTCAGGGTCTGGAGTCAAGGCTGAGACCGGCTGAGAAAAGTAAAACCAGACTATTTATTGTGAGTCTGGAAAAGACCGGGCTTCCTTACCAAGGGAACAATGACAAATTAAAAACTAAATATTCAGATTCCTTCATGATTTCACACACATGTTCCTAAGAATTTAATATAAATTCCCTTTGCAGCTGCCATTGGAGTTTATCAAAAAGCGTTGAGCTGGTTATAGATTTTGGACAATATACGTCCTATTATTGGACCATTTTCCAGAGTGGCCCAAGCGTGTATATACTGTACATTATTAAAGGGTGAAAAAACTCTGGTTGGATCTTCATTGCAGGGTGCAGTGTAAGGAGGCAGTAAAACTATGGTATGGTTTCAGTCTTTTGTTTTATATCCAGGCTTTATGGTGGTTTGACGATAGCTGGTAGACAGTGGGCGCCAACATATATGTTTTTCCACTTTTGTTAACCATGCAAGAGAATGGGACTTGATATCGTTACTTAGATGTGCGGTGACCTCCACAGTATGGACACATGATCTGGGTGCATTTTAGATTTTAATATTCATCCCTAATGTACCTTATCTTTTTGTACCTCAATGTTGAAAGAGACTTTATCATCCAAATCCATTTCCATCCCATTGGTTAAGAAGGTCATATAACCCACCCAACACAACATGTTGGTGTGGAATAAGTGTTTTTGCAGAACCTGAGCTGGAATCAGATTAGACCCGTCACAGAAGTTAGACTGAGCCCCATTATGTGAGGTTGGCCTGGTCTTGAGTGATGGAGGGTTGTTGTGGTGGTGGTGGAGCACAGCCTTCCTTTGCGGGTGTTGAGTCCCAGCACGTGTGACTCACTGAGGCAGGGTTTGGAGGGGGTGACAGGGTTAATGAGGCTTGCTGAGGAGCACTCACTGGTTGGATGGCTGGTTGCTCCTGATAGGGTCCACAGGGGCCCGCAGAGCCCCACGGCCCATTAACTTGTGGAGACAAGCGGAGCCAACGCACAGGATGGAGGTCCACGCCGGGCCAGAGCCCAAGAAAAACACACGCGGTAACACCGGCGCAGGCCAAAGAACTCTCAAACTATACAAAGGAGCAGCGCTATGGTTGGCAGGCATTTGTGGATATAACTGGAATATATCTGGAGTAAAATCACAACCTTTAAAGTCAATAACACACATCACATGTGATCCAGGTCAACACTGGTCGCGTGCCCATTACAACGCACCATAAATCAGGAGGACAGAAATAGAGATAAGTAGCCATACTGTACATGCAGAGTATAATAAGAAAAGAAGGAATGTTACATTGAATCATTACAAAATGTGTGTATTCCCCTCCAGGCTGCATGATATAACTTACATACATCTTTCTACAGCCACTGTTTTTCTTTAAAGCAGGCGGTAAAAACATTACAAACACACACGGTGCCCTAAGGAACAGCGTGAGGTTTGATACAAAATAAAACAATGAGTCCAAACTAAGTCCAGCACAGAATATATCCTGGCCTTTTCCCCACTAGGTACCGAGGTGAAATGCAAAAACCCCTCATAATGGTTCATAAACACAGGTTACAGTGTCACAGAAACACCTCTTCACTGTATTCTTGGCTCACGAAGAGCATGAAAACCAGGGTAAGAAAGTCATTCCCTCTTTAAACAATTTCTCCTGCGGTTATATGACCCAATGCATACAATACTGTGTATACATTAAGTTTTTGTCAATTTGCCAAAGAGCGTCTGCGTGCAATTCTTGAGGTCCCTGAGCTGAAAATCAGCATGGAGGAGCGAGGGGAGACGTGAAGAAGAGGCCCTGGCTGTTGACTTTAAGTAGCTGGATCACGGCCTGCACCTTAACCCAAGCATGGGAAGGCAAACCTCAGACGCACTGCGCGGAAAGCCACATACATCATTTTAGTCTCTAACAAATAAGATTAATGGGAGCTGTGCTGGGGCGTGCACATTACTGCGGCGTCCGACACACAGCAGCCAAACCAAGGCGGACCGCAGCTGGACCTGTGGGACCGAGCGCCCGTCTGTCACTCAGCGATGAGATATCGTCCACAGACCCCGGCACCACGCGCAGCATCAACTGTTATTATTATTAATACACCCGAAGTATAAATGGAATCTGCAAAGGGATACAGGGATTTTATCTTGTGACATCTCAGAGCCATTCCTCATACTGTAAACCTCCAGCATTCCTGTGTATAGTTTACACATGACTGTATCATGCTCTTTAAAACTGCATAGCTCAACCACTTTGACATGTTGATATACTGCACATTTTTAGATATGTGTCATATTCTTCAACTAATTAGTCTTGTAGTCTTTTTTGGTACATTGCTGATAAACTACTGAGTTATTTGTCGTGTTCTTATTGTACTTACTTTTTCATATATTAATATTTCTTCTAAACTTTAATTTTTTTGGTATTTTATAATGCATTTAAAACGGCATAGCTTTTCCACTTTTAAATTCTGATATACAGTACATATTAAGCTTTATTCTATTACTTTCTCATATTATTATTGCACATGTTTTTGTGTATATTTATATTTCTTGTAAACGTTTATTTTTTTAGATTTAGAATTATTTTTTTTTTTAATCGTTTTGGGAAAAGGTTTGATACTGGCCCCTTATTTTACTGAGTTTATGTATGCACAATCATAAACTACAGAACATTCCTTGTATGTGTGAACCTACTTGCCAAATAAACCTGTGATTTAGGACTTTAACAATGAACCTGGAACATGAATACAATGTGCAAAGTGAATAAGAAAATGTGTTTTAATTGCTTTTTTGGAAGTTTAGGAAAACGTATTCAAACCTTTCTCTAAAAGATACAAATCGTACACATTTCCTGCTAGAAATTCGTACAACAGAAAGTGATATAATTGGCGTGTGAAACAGCTGGAGTCCCCTGTGAGAGAGAACAACAATGGGAAGCTTCAGACCAAAACAATGCTGATAAAACCAGCTCTGGTCTGATAAGGAATAACAAGATTGTGACTGTGTCAGTGGGTAGAGAGATAAGAAGCCGGTTACCTACTGTAGCTCGTATGATGTAATAACAAACACCTACCTGGTTGCTGCTAATCTCACATCACGGCAGCAGCTAATCTCTCAGCAGTGATAGTGGGGGGGTGCTGGGGACAGAAATGGGATCTGTGGGGGTTTTATGCAGATGCCTGGACAGATAACGTCCACAGCTCATCAAAAACAACCAGGACTTAACATGGAAGCACGGGAAGATACGTTTTTGTGTCTTGTTTTTTCTGGTTCATTGCTACTGATATTTACATGACTAAACTTCCACAGAGAGAGATGGAGATAAGATCCTTCTCGTCTTTCTGATGCTGTCACCGTGTGTTTTATCAGCTTGCTGTGCTTTTAAATCTGCCTGCCTTGATCTCTGTTTTTGCTCGGCACCTCTAACATCCAGCGGAGACGGAGCCCTGTGATGTTTGCATCTAAAAAGCAGCAGATGGATGCTTTTTAGAGGAAGTAGATCAGATTTATGTATTTCTGCTAAACAACACTACAGGGAGAATTCCACACAACTTTCTTTGTTAGTAAAAAAAGAAGAAAGATAGGAAATGGGTTTGATATCTCACCGGCATGGTACGCCACCGACCCTCGGCTCCATCCCGGGTGTCTGTTCCTGGGATAGTCCTGCAGAAACAGATCCACGGGTCACAAATACACACTTCACACAGTTTCACATGTTTCTACTAATGTGCCTTGAGAATGAGCAGGTTTCATTCAAATTGAAATGACAACCAGAGAGGAAAAACTAACCAAACCCAACCACATAATAGGGCTGCTGGATTATGGCAAAAATCATAATCACTATTATTTTTGGTAAGAATTGAGAACACGATTATTTAACGTAATTAATTGTTCACTTTGGAAACATCGTGCCTTTTGAAAGAACATTTTGTACTAGTTAAACACATCAATATGGTGCACTTTGAAAGCAAAATTAAGAGGCTTAATTTATAAAGAACATCTTGTATAAAATGTGATCATAAAAACATTGGTTGTATTGGTGAGGGCATGGAAAAAACAATAAATGTTAAATCGACTAATTAATAAAGCGCTTTTTCAAAGCAGTAAACGTCAGGGTTGTACTACGTGTGACTGATGCTGATTGTTTTTCTAAAGGATTTCTTTGTTTCCTATGAGATCATGTTTTTTTGTTCCCTGAGGGTTGGAGGTGGGTGATGATTTTGTAGTTGTGTTATTTGTTTTCAAAACCTGGCGAAGTGTAATGTGCTGTGATCGCCCATCTTCACCTTGTCTGTGGTGCTTCATTGCTTCAACACATGTTGATAACATCCTAACATAAACGTTACTTTCCGTTCTGGTGATGTCAGGACACTGTCAATCAGCTCTTAATTACAGAGTAGCTAGCTGCTGTTTTTAAAGAAACCCTACCATACTTTCCTGTAGTGAGTTATATAGGTTTGTGTGCATGTAAATGGTTTGCAAAGGCAAAAAAAATGTCCTTAACATAGTGATATCACTACAGTATGTGTACCGTCTCTTCTATTGGCTAAGGGACGGCACATCTCTAAGCGGTTGACCAATCACAACAGAGCCGGCCAGCTAACCAATCAGAGCAGACTGGGCTCTGGTTTCAGACAGAGAGTGAAAAGAGGCGCTGCAGCACAGGCAGTATGAGAAAAATAAAGAGCTTTTTGAACCTTAGAGCATGTAAACATGTGGAGGCACAACATATAAATATGAAAATGAGCATATATCCTCTTTAATGTGTTAATACCAGTGCTGTTTTAAATCATGTAACTAGTGTTCACATGCTAACAGGTGTGAGGATTCCTCTGCCGCTCTGTTTTGGATACCGGTCAGTGTCTTAGGATGTGTTTGTCTCTCTCCGTCTGTCTGCATGTACAGTACGTATGCCTTCCTCCAGGTTTCACCATGCCAACAGAAATAACTACTGGGCAAACTTTCGGATAACATCAGAGCATGACTCAAGGGGTAATTACCAGAGATTTTTATCTGTCTTCTTGGCTGCACCTACATTACTTTAGAAACACATTACTGAACAAGAGAGGGAGGAGGAGGAGGAGGAGGAGGAAGAGGGCAATGACATTACACTCTTTCATCTCTAAGTGGGCTCCATCTTATAAATCCTTTCTTGTTTGCTATTTTTCCACGAGTTCTCTAGGCTGCGTTTCTTTTAACAGACAAAAAAGGCCACTATTCATTTTTATAAGTCTGAAGAATCCAAAGTATGACCAGGATGACGTCCAAAAGAAAATCACAGGTCAGCCTGGGAATTGAGCTTTTATCCAAATAAAAGAGCATCCCCTGATGACTGATCAAAGTCTACATTTCTCATCAAATAAAAAGGCCGATGAAATGATTACTCTTTGCACCTGTGTGCAGAAATGAGTAATAGGGTCTGAGCAGGCAGACAGACAGCGTGGTCGGGCCAGGCAGACACGAGTGCAGCATTTGAGGACAGGACATCAGGGAAACATCAGCGATCCTGTCTGACAACCCCATTGGGGCTGGAGGAACAGGAAATGGAGAAGGATGGAGGGAAAAGAAAGAGAGAGGGACAGAGTGAGACATCAGCAGAGGAAGACAGAGAGACATGGAGGAATGCAGCGACTCCTCCAAGCCTGAAACCCTCTTGATCCGCCAAGTCTGCTCCTCTTCCCCCTCGCCTAAACCACAAGCCCGAGGATTCCTCCGGCTGACTGGCATGTGGGCTGAATCTCCACGAGCAGCGCAGGAACGTCTGGCTGTTTTTGCTCCCTGATTGATGATCCACAGACTCGGATCTGATCAGCGATTTGCAGTAACTCTCTGAAAGACGACAACATTGGGAACGGCTAGACAAATAAGGGGTGGATTTATAGTGCTTTAATGTAAACCGCAGACTTGTGTCTGATGAACGGATCAACTGTTAAATGCGTGTTTTCATAGCAGATTTCTCGGGTAATTGTTCATCATCTTTCATTTAAAGCGTACACTCAGTGTGCTCTATACATCAAATAAATACAGCGGATTGGGGGGGGGGGAAACCTCAAGAAGAACTCCCTTGTCAATACACTTTAAAAGAAGCTTTATCATTTTACGGCATAATAGTTTGACTTGGTTATGTCGCTCTGTCAGCAACTTTGGTCCTGAAATACCTTGACAACTATTTGATGTATTGAAATAATACTTCTTACTGACATTCATGGTCCCCAGGAGATGAAGCCGACTGACTTTTGTTGATCCCACAACTTTAAGTCGGCCGTATTTGTGTTTCAGAGTCAAATGTCTAGACAACTGTTGAAAATATTCTTTATCATGTCAAAAATAGTCCAATACTTTTGGTTTATGAGCAAAAACTTAAGCTACACCCAATGTTACCAGAGAGAGCTTCAGGTTTCACATCAATAATATCTCCCTCCTCACAGCCTTTTTCACTCATAATAGTAAATGTGAAAACATACAGTTTGAAAATACAAATATTCTCCGAGGCTAAGCAGCGAAAAAGGAATACAATTGGAAAAAATCGAAATACAATTGATTCTATCTTTGAAATCCACTGCTTTAAAATATTACTAAATGTTTTGAGTCATAAATCTTTCAACATCAATATTGTCACCTGCATATATGCAATCAATGGAAACAGGTAAAACTACAGTAACTACAGGGCTTTCTGAACATTCACTTGTCAATAAACAACACATTTCTTAAGAGAAACACCATCAAAAATATCGCCATGATATCCTCTCTTTTCTTAAACCAAATAGTGGGCATTCTTTCTCCTTTTTTGAACAAAGAAGTAAGCATTCGTTGTGGTACATCGGGTCAAAATGAACTCATAGACGATGTCTTAATACCCGAAAAACAATATGACGGTGTAAAAATATGACTTGTACTCTTATCTAAGACTATTCTCAAAGTCAATATATCTTTTTTCAGCCGTAAACTCTGTGAAGCACAGGTCATATTGTTTTGTTGGAGTTGGATCAGCTTTGTCTGTAATAAAAGAAACATTCCAACCTTTTGTGGTTTGGAAACTACAACAGTTAATACTGTGATTTTTGTTTTTCAATCAGTGGTGGCGCCACTAAATTACACCTATACTCCTCCTCTATCAACATCTGATGGAATGCCTTCTAGAGACGCCATGTTAACCATCTGCTGCTATAAACTTTCGAAACATGTTCACTACCCCCCGTTGGCCTGCAGAAGCCAACATTGAAATGCAAGCTGCTTCTAAGAACAACAAACACCAGCGTTGTGTCCACAGCTTGTGGGAGAAAAGCCCTGCAGTATCAGATCCACAGCTGCTACACCGGTGTCTTCAGAGAAGCCTGCATTTCCACACGGTGGCAGAGTAAACAAGTCTGAATGAGCGGAAAGGTGCGGGTTGAGCGGGGAACCGAGTGGAAGCAGATACCCATCATCCACAGCAGCTATCACTCTGGCATATCACAGAGCTGTCTAAAAATATGAGTTTTCACAGTGTGCGTGTGTGTGTTGCAGGTACAGTTTGATAGGCATGGAAAGTAGTGTGTTTGTACGTGCCCACACACCCTCACCTATAGGGGTTGGGTAGAGAGTGTGTAAGGAGCTAATGCAGGTCTGTTTGTATAACCTCGTGTCATCAGGCTGAAACCTCCAGCTCCTCACACGATGACAGCCGGGTCTGAAATGAGGGAACAACAGCTTGGGCATGTGTTCGGGCATGTTGATCACTTTATATGGATTCTAGTGCATGTTTTCATGTTTTCATGATTTAAACAAAACACTGAAAAATGACTGAGTTTGTAACTCTGAAAAGATAGAAACTTCTTGACTCTGGTGTTTCTCAATCGCGAGTACGCTTGCTTGGTAGCACATGTCTGCCGAGCATCTTGCTTAGAAGCGAGTCAAGAATACTTCCTGGCATTCGGAAAACGAAGTGTGGAACAGGCTAGCAAGTGTGCAGGTGTGCGTCATATGAGAGGCCCCGCCTTACATCTTCCGCCACAGATTTGGGGAAATTGGTCCGTGCGCAAAGCATTGTGGGGATTTTAAGACCGCGGAGTCTACTCATGTGCAGCCTCGATATTTCTCCAAACGGAGTACGCCGGGCTCGGTAGATTTCCAAGTATGCTGGAGATTGGAACAGTACTTCGGCGGCACTCGATGACGTAGTATGCTTGAAATAGTGGCTCTGAAGCAGCTTTACTCGCGATTGAGAAACACCCACTGTGTTGTAAAGAAACATCTGAAGAGCTTCCAGAGGATGTAGTGCAGGGTCCTTGAGTTATACATTTAAAAAATAGATTAGACAAACTATGTTCAACCTATATGATATGTTCATTGCATTGTGATCATTTGTTATATCAAACAAGTATACTGTGGTATTTTTTGGACTACTGTTTGTTTGTTTGTTGCAGTTGGAGTGTCTGTACAGATTATTTTCTTGATTAACAGATTGAATGTTTGGTATAAAACATCCGAAAGTAGTGAAAAGCGCATGCAATCATTTCTCCATTTGTTTCCATCTTGCTTTAACCGACCAATACTTGAAAACCAAACTTTTTTGTTGTCGTCATGTATAACAAATAACCCTACTATATTCTGAAATTAGAGAGGCTAGAAACAGCTAATGTTTGGCATTTATGCTTAAAAAATTTAAATAAACAACAAGATCA